TGGTGTGGAACTCACACTTAGACAGCTTAGCAAAGAGCCTGTTGCTCCTTAAGCGAGCGAGGACCTCAGTGACATGCTTCACATGTGCTTCTTCAGTGTCACTGAAGATCAGGAAGTCATCTAGGTATACTACCACATATATCCCAATGATGTCTCGGAAGATGTCATTGATGAATGACTGGAAGTGAGCCGGAGCATTGGCTAGGCCAAAGGGCATCACTAGGTACTCATAGAGTCCCAACTGAGTGCCAAAAGCTGTCTTCCATTCATCTCCTTTAGCAATCCGGATGAGGTTGTATGCTGCTCTAAGGTCTAGCTTGGTATAGATCCTTGCCTTCCTGAGTAAGAACAGCTGCTCCTCGATGAGGGGCAATGGTGCCCTGTTCTTGACAGTGATCTCGTTGAGACCTCTGTAGTCCACACAGAGTCTGAGACCTCCATCCTTCTTTGGTACGAAGAGCACCGGTGATCGTGCCGGGCTCTTCGATGGTCTTATGAACCCCTTCTCGAGGTTCTCATCCAAGTACCTCCTCAACTCGGACATCTCCTTGGGTCCCTTAAGGTATAGGGGCCCTTGAGGTGGCTTCCCTCCTTCTATCAACTCGAGGTGGAGATCATGCTCGGTATGATGGGGCAGCTTGTCTGCTTCCACCTCATCAAACACATCTCGCAGGTGTTGGTATGGCTTTGGTATGTCTGCAGCCGTCACCACCTTATCTACCTCCACCTCCATCTCGACTCCTTTGTCTGCGCCTGTAGGTACAAAACCAAAGGCTGGGAGTGATGATGGTGGCTCCTCTAACAGCATGAACCCTATGGGTCCATCTTCCAGAGCTGCTCGTAGTATGCGCTCTGCTGAGACAAACTCGTTACCATGAAGGGTTGGTCTCCTCATGGTTAGGTCCCCTGCTCTTGCTGCTTCAGGGGGTCTCCTAGGGGGTCGGTCCTGCTCCTGAGTCTTGAACTCCAGCTGGCCCGTATCCCATTGTATGGTGGGTTTGAGCCTCCGTAGCTCAGTGAACCCCAGGATGAGGTCATAGTCCGCAGTGTCGGCCACTGAAGCTTCGACCACACCCAGATTGTGTGTACCAATAGATACCTGCATGCTCGCAGAACTATTGATGGAGAGTTGGTGCCCGGTGACACCATGGATCGATCTTGTTTTTATGGGTTTTGTGGGTATTTGGTACTTACTAATGAAAGAATCTGAGACTATGGACAAACCAGCACCGGTATCAGCTAGTATCCGAGCAGGATGGTCTTGAACCATTCCAGAGAGCTCCAGTACTGCTTTGCCTCCACTGGTAGAGAAACATACTTGACAATCTTGATATATACAGAGTGATGGCGAGGAGGTTTGTAGAGCAATGCATGCCATCAGTGCATCACCCCACTGACGTTTCCCTCATCGTCATCATCATCGTGCTCCTCCTCGTGATCGGGGTCCATGGGTTGCTGGTATGAGCTGAGGTCCATGGCCTCGGGGTCACCCGTCTCAGTACTGCCTGTGTGGCCATCTCCTGAGTCGGTGGCCTCCTCGAAGGGGTCTGCTGTGGTGACCATAACCTTTGGTCCCATGGGTCGAGAGCTAAGAGGGTTTACCCTCCTGCTGGGGCAGTCTCTGGCCCAATGGCCGATACCCTTGCATACATGACAGGTGTTGATACCTGATGGAGCAGGGCTTCCTTGCTTCGAGGGTTGGGTGGGATGATGAGGAAGGGGTCGGTTTAGGTTTTGTATAGTTGCTTGTGTAGTTGCTTGTGATGGTGATCGAGCTGGATAAGGTTGAGTGGGTTGTCGGATGGGGATTGAACTTTGATTTGGCCGAGACCCAGTTCTTAGTGGAGGTGACGTGGCATTTGGAAGTGAGTGTCTAGCCGAGGACTGCTGTAGTAGCATCCTCTGTCGATCGATCTCCTCGACCTCTCGATACCACTCCCATCTCTTCCCAGGTGGATTCCTCTCGAACTTCTCCTGTATGCTACGAGTGAGACTACCTCTGAAGAGATCAATCACTAGCTCATTGTCATCTAGGTTGACCTGTCCTTCCAAGTCTCTGAACCGCTCTACATGACGTGTGGCGGCACCAGGAGCATCACTTGTGAGTCTGAGAGCCAACAGCTTGTTGTATGCCTCCATCCTAGCATTGCGTGGGTTGAACTGCTCTGACAGTCGCTCTGTGAAGTAGTGCCAATCATTGAACAACCTTCCTTCTCTAGCTCTATCAATACGGAGCTTGGAGGTCCACCACTCTCTTGCTGTCCCTTCCAGTTGAGCACCCATGTGATTGATCATCCTAGACTGCTCATACACCTGGTTGTACTTAAACCATGCTTCGGCTTCTAGAATGAAGATCTCCATGTCTCGGGGATTGAACTTTGGAAAGGGGGTGGCGATGGGCTTTGACCGGTTAAGCTCTGCCATGATGCTGGTATCCTCCTCGTGGTCCAGGGGGTAAGGGTCCGTCCTAGTCCTGCTGTAGGGGTCCAGCTTAGTCTTGACATATCTTGGCCCAGTAGGTGAAGCATACTTCTCGTAGTTGATGTCCTCCTGCTCATCCAGGTTGAATGAGACTGATCGTCTTGGTCGTGGAGCTGGAGTAGGAGTATGTGGGTCTCCTATCATAGACTCATCTCCTCCTCCTGCTTGGTCTTCCGAGTGAGAGAGGTCCATTGTCTCCTCCCTACCCAGCTGAGCTCGTTGTAGTCGTTCCTCTCGATGACCCTGCCTAGTAAGCTCTAGCTGAGCTTCCAATAGAGTGAGTAGTCTATCGAGCTTATTGTTGAGGTCTGGGTCCGTCATGGTGATCGTGAGGAGCTGCTTGAACGATCCACTCTAATGTCAGGGGTCTCGCGCCTGAAACCCAGGTTGGTCTGTCGAGATACTCGGTGACTATTAAACTGTGTGACAGCTATTGTCTCGGTATCGGTGACTATCAAGTTGTGCAGTGACAGCAGGTGGCGTTCGTTGTATATACTATCGTAGGTTTCGGCTGACCTCTGTGGACACTCCGTTCAGGGGTAGCTCGGCACGATCAATATCAATGTTATGATGACACCAAGGTCTGGTGTGGGTGTTGATGATGATGAGGTTGATGGTGTTGGTGATGAGATTGGTGATGTCGATGATAATGAGGTTGATGGTGTTGATGATAAGATTGGTGATGTCAATGATAATGAGGTTGATGGTGTTGGTGATAAGGTTGGTGGCGTCAACACGAGTGTCCAGTGTGTTGACTTGATGCTTTGAAGGGATCCCCGGACCGCAGTGGACTACTGCCTTCGGTTCTATCTATATCCGGACCGCTAACCTGCTATGGGCGCCTTCGGACGTCAGGTAGTGGTGATACAACACACACACTACGATGAGGAGCAACCTTGATAGATTGCTGCTATGCTGACTGTAACTAATGAGTACTTGTGTTTCTAAAGTATTGACTAGTTGTATGGTGAGTAGAGTGGATGGGGATCCACTCGACCTATGATGATGAGAAAGCATGGTTATATACCTCTTCACAGCATCGCCAGCGATGCTGCTCCTGCTCTCTCTCCAGAGAGTACCTTCTTCATCGAGTACTGCTCAGGGGCCTCTCCTGCTTGGCACCCCTGTTCCTCTTGAGTGGTGTCGACTCCTTCGACACTGCTCCTCCTCCTCATGACCTGTGTCGACTCCTTCGACACTGCTCCTCCTCCTCTTGACCTGTGTCGACTTCCTGTCTCTCGAGCCCCTGAGTGGTAACCATCTGCATGCTCCTTGAGCTTGGTCCTCTTCGTGGCTGTGCCTGCTCCTTGAGCTTGGTCCTCCTTGTGGCTGTGCCTGGTCCTCCTCGCATGTGGCTCGGTTCTCCTTTGCATGTGAATCCATAGGAGTCCATGGTCTCCATGGAGACTGCACTACGACCATGCTCTCTACTGGTATCGACTAGGTCTTCGATACCTGTGCTCCTTCCATATGAACCAGTGACCCTCCTGCTTCTTGAGCATCCAGGCCCATGACACCATACAGGATTTCCTTCGCGTTGTGCACTCTCTGGAGGCAGTCGATAAAGGTGGGTTCCCAGGTGTGCCAATTGCTATCGCTGAGCTTCTTGATGTGAGCAATGGAGCTCGATACATCCTTGGGGATCTTTTCGGTCTCCCCGTGTGGAGCTTGGTTGCTAATGTTGACCAGACCCATGGCCCGTACTATTGCTTCCTCTGCCGTTAGTGCTGGGTTTGCTAACTGGAGGATTCTGACTACCTGCGTGAGCCATCCTTCCTCTCGTCCATTTCCCACAGTCGCTTGATCATCATCTCTTCCCACCTGTCCAGCTCTTGTCGATGGTGGCATTGCACCGAGCCTCAGACTCTTAATCAGTTGAAGGTAGTTGAAGAGTTTTTGTTGATGATGGTAAGAGAGAGAGAGCGAGAGAGCGAGGAGTCTATATATACAAAAGAAGAGCAGCAGAGAGCCGCATTGACTGCAGAACATAACAAAGCATTTGTCTTGAGTAGGTTGTGACACATGTGGTCCGTGCTAAGATGCTCAGGCCTTTTACTCGGCCGTAAGCACTACCTTCACTGTCTCTACGCTTTGTGTAGCTTTATCTACTTCAACTAAATCAAGGCTGGAAAAGTGGAGAATTTGCATGTGAAGCTGTCCCTTTTCGCTCTGCTGCCAATGTTCGAGGGAGGAGGATCTCCGAATTCCGAAATTCGTCACTTTTTTCTCGCAAGAATTTTTGGCGTTGAACCCGCAGAGAAACGGATGTCCTTCTCTGCTAAGCCTGTAACACCTTGCTACCTACCATTTCACCTCCTCGTTGTCTATGTCGACCAGACTCGCAGCTGAAGCATCATTTTCCTAACTTTCCTACAATATTTGTCCCACAATTGCATCGAAGCAGCTGCTAGACTCATATAGGCGTTCGGAAGGATACAAAGTGCGGCAAAGGACGACGCGACCCAGCCAGCCCTTAGCTGCGATAGCCTCTCATCACACTCGGGGATAGGGTAGCCAAGATGTCGAAATCAGCTACATCGACTCCCGTCAAGAAGGCAACCGCGACACCATCGACGCCTTCACAGCCGGCAGCTCCTTCGCCCCTTCCAGCAAAGTCGACGTCTTGTTCCTCGAAAGCAGCCTCTGCAGAAGCACCGGCACCACCACCCTCTCAGATCGCCGAGCCGTCGACCAGCAATGCAGCGACGGCCACCAATAGCTCTGGCAAGAATCGAACCCGCAAGACAAAGAAACGCATCTCGGGCTCGAAAGAACGCACCGCCGAGTTCTTGCCCTTTCAGACCATCGGTGAAGGCCGTGTTTCGCGCCTTCCCGTCGTCTTCACCCGCGATGCCGACTACTTCTTCTCCGTCTCCAAGACTTCCGTCCGCATCTACTCGCGTACGACAGGACAGGTCGTCTCGACGCTCTCCAATGGTCCGGGCTCTCACTTCGCCGCCATCACTGCGATCATGATCAACCCTGCCAACCCATTGCAACTCCTCACCGCATCACTTGACGGTCGTGTCAAGCTCTGGGACTTTTTGGACGGTGTCTTGCTCTCGTCTTTCGACCTTCAGCTTCCCATCTCTGGAATGGCAGCACACGCCTCCAACCCCAACACTGTCTATGTTCTCCTCAAAAAGTACCGCCACCGCGACGCAGAGATTGCGCCAAAGAGCGTCTCCGAGATCCTCGCAGCCTTAGAAGACGGTGCGCCTTTCAACAGCATCATTGGTTACTTCAGTATCAACGTCTCTGCCCATTCTCATACCTTCACCGCTATGCCCAAGTTTTTTCGAGGCGCTTCCATTCGACCTGAAGTGTTGCGAATCGGCAAGACCCGCGAGGCTGTGTCGATCGGTGTTTCTCCCAACGGCGAGTGGCTTGTCGTCGTCGGCAACGACAAGGTGCAGGTGGCGAGAACGAATAACCTCGCTTCAGGCTTCACAAGGTTCATCTCGTCACACCCTGGAGCACATCAGCAGCAAAGAGAGTCGATGACTTGCCTGGCTTTTCATCCGACCGACTCGACCCGACTCGTCACTGGCGACTCTTCAGGACGCATTCGAGTCTGGTACTGCTTGCAGAAGAACTTCATGGCTCCTTCCAAAGCCGAAGCCGATGACGGCATGGAGAGGCATGCACCCTCGACTGTGCTTCACTGGCACGCGCATGCTGTCTCGTCGCTCTGCTTCTCGCCTAACGGTGCACACCTTCTCTCAGGAGGTGAGGAGGGTGTACTTGTCGTCTGGCATCTCGGCGCTTCCGGAAATGCAACTTCGAAGGAGTTCGTCCCCCGCCTTGGTGCTCCCCTCTCAGCCATTGCTGTCGCCAACGGTCTCGATGGTAGGGAGCAGGAGTACGCAGTCTCGCTCGCCGATGGTAGCATTACTTTCGTCTCATCCATGACCCTCAAGCCGACTCGGAGCTTCACTCGCATCAAGATCGATGCCTCTCGCCACGTTCCTGGCGCAACAGTGCCCACCAACACTCCCGTCCCGCTTGCAGTCCACCCAGCCAGCCGCAATCTTGTCCTCCTCGCCGGTCACCCTTCTTCATTGCAGTTCTATGACGCAATCAAGGACGTCAACACCATGGAGCTCGAGGTCGCTCCTTCCAACCGTGTCTCTCGTGTCGAAGACGAGCAGATCGAGCCCACCCGCGTCGAGCGTGTCGTCTTTTCGCCCTTTGTCTCCTCAAAGACAGCAGAGCAGGGCGAGTGGATGGTCACTTTCGACAGCCGCAACTTGTCCGACGTTGAAGGCGAAGTGGAGGTGGTAGCAGAGTCAAGCCTCAAGTTCTGGCGCTGGAACCCGGTCAATCGACGCTACACGCTCAACACCCGCATCGATCGACCTCACCAGGGCAAGCGTCTCACTTCCATGTCTTTCTCAACAAGCACGCCACTGCTTGTCACTACGGCCACTGACGGAAAGGTGCGTAGCTGGCACTTGGCTTCACGCAAGCTTAAGTCTGGTAAGATGGAAAGTTACTGGGCCTGTCGTTCTGTCTTTGGGTACCGCGAACAGACGCCTACTGCCAGCGCGTTTTCGGCGGATGGATCGATCTTGGCCGTTGGCCAGACAGGTAGCGTGACGCTATGGAGCCCAGAAAGCAACCTCATGTCGATGGTCATCTCGGCGCCTGAGCTAGCAGAGGGCGTGCAGAGTCTTGCCTTCTCCGGACGATATCTCGGAATTGCCACGCCTACTGCGGTGCTCACTTGGGATTTGATCTTGTCGCGACAAGTGTCGAGAAAGGGACTCGAGGCTGGTCAGCGAGCTAGTCTTTTGCTGTCATCGTCATCAAACGCTTCGACTGAGTCTGTCTTCACTCTGGTCTCCTCAAGCTCCGCCAATGCTTCTGAAACAAAAGACGCTCCTGCTCAACGAGCCAAGACCATCATTGAGCCAGTTTCTCGCGTCTCGGATCGGGAGATCGCCACTTCCTCTTCAGCTGGTGCCCTCACCAAGCCAGCTTCAACTTCATCGACATCGCGAGCCGTATTTCGTGTCGCTGTCAACTCTCTGTCTCCCATTCCTATCCCTGCCGGATCCCAGGGACAGGGACAGGAATTTGTCGCAATCAGCAACGAGATGGATCTCATCCTCTTTTCTTCCCACCCGTCCGGCTCTACCGTCACCACAGCTGGCGCTACGGCCGAAAGCATTCGAGGTATCTCCAACGTCAAGAAGACCTTGTTTGACGACCTTTTTGGTCCTTCTGCATTCCATGATGCACGTGACGACACAAACGACGACGACGATTTGGCGGCAGTGGCGGCGGTGTCTGCTGACACGGCGGGCGGAGTTGGATCTGGAGTGGCATCGATCTTTGCAACCGCACCCCATTTGTTGCCTCCAGCCACGTTATTGTTCGATGCATTCTTGGCAAAGATGTTGCCCCCCGCGCATACTGCATCGATTCCTGCTGCTACAGATACAAACGCATCTCTGTTCGTGACAGACAATAGCAAGGAGGAAGAGGAAGTAAAGGCGAAGCAAATTGTTACAACTCCGGGAAGCCAACGAGGCATTTCGGACATTTTGCGTTCAGATACCGATGATCTAGTCGAACTGTTCACGAAACAGATTCTGGTTGACAACGCCACCCAGACCTCGAACGAGAAGGCTTCACCGGTCATGGTGAATGGAACCAATGGTAACGCCACACCGGCTAAGAAGGTTCAGGTGAATGGAGCAGGTTCAGGCACGCCAATCTCGTCGTCGAAGGCCGCTTCGGGAAGCGTATGCAAGAATGTTGCTCCGCGAACACCCAATCATCAGCAAGAAGGAGGAGGGGAGGAACTAGCTTCGCCAAGTAAGAGTTCTCGAAAGCGAAAGCACTAAGCCACACGACCCTTACCACTCAGACTCTTTGCTGCAGTACTAGAAGTCATTCCGCGGTACATTACGTCTGAGTCTGTGACATGCGCATGTGTATGAGAACAAGTTCGGGACACGGAGCGGATGTGGCTCGAAGAACGAGGTAGGGCATCGGGAAGTGCAGCGGGGCCAGAGCACCGACTAGCGCCGATTGCAATCTACGAACCAAGACAAATTGTACAGGTATTGGACACCGCAACCGGCATGTATGTACATGCTCACCAGCAGTATCACCAGTAGTACCACCATCAGCAGAAGCGGCGGCGGCAGCGTCACCATCATCATCACCACAAGGTTGTGGCTTTGAACTGCATCTCGAAGCGAGGTTGATTTGCAGCTCATAATGCTATAGCATATGCACTAGAATGCATGGCCGGACCGAACAGGGAGCGACAGCGACAGCGAGCAAGGAGGAACAAGTGGGATGAAAAAGAAAGACGAAAGGATGACGAGAGGCGACGCCGGCAATAAGTTGAATTTTGTTTGACAGCTCCTTGGCACCAGACCCACTTCCGATATTCGGCTCGTAACGCAAGCAACCAACAACGCTCGTGCTCGTTTCACCTGACTGACACACCCTCACACATGTGATACGTTTGCATACGCTCATCCCCGCTCGATTCACTCCTGGTGCATTCTCCTCCTGACCATGACGGCTGCAATCCGGTCCTTCCGCGGCTGCTTAACTCCACCCAGGCTTGCAAGCCTTGTTCTCCTTACGTTCTTACCGCAACATCCGTTACTTGCAGCAACACCAGCTCAAGCTAATCGTAGAGTTCGGCTAGCTCATCGCACAAGGCGTGGGAACCCCCCTTTTAGCAGCGGGACTGCATCAAACATGGACGACTCAGCCTTCCGATCAGGCCCATTGATGTGATATAATCGGAACTCGTCAGTTTTCTCTTCTTTCATGGCTTCTGCGGGTGTTTTGTTTGCATCGAATTCAATCCATCGCATCCCGCCATTCCAGCTGCGAAGTCCATTGCCAGCGAGATCAGCTCTGGATTCTCTCCTGTGCTTCGGCAGACCTCGTTTAGACACTTGGGGGCTGCTGCAACTTCCGATATTTGTTTGCTTTTGCCAAACCTCATGTAACGGGAACTGCCCCACCCTTGGAGTTCGGTGATCTGTCAGGCTTGCTGTGTTGATAGGTTTTAGTTTTATAGCGCTGCTTGGTTTCCTCATTACCAGACGTGAACGACCCCTTCGTGCGCGCCATCCTTCCAGCGGCCCGCACTGCCGAACTTGACTCTGATCAACCATCCCGTCTTATCAGGCTCGCCATCATGGTTGCCGCCGCTACTGCCGCTACTACCATCGCTCCTGAAAAGCCGCGATCGTTGAATCGATCCTGCATTCAGTGTCGAGAGCGCAAGGTCAAATGCGATCGCCTCGACTCTTGCTCCCAATGCATTGCTAAAGGCGCTACGGATGAATGCAAACGAGAGCTGCGTAAGAAGAGGGCCAAGAAGAAGCGGTCCTTTCCCAAACGTAAGAGTCGTACCATCGCCGCAGAGCCCGACAACATCGCCTCTTCCACCATAACCGCAGCCGCAGCCAGCATCGCTCGTGTCTCGTTTAGAACTGCAGTCCCGGGCAGCGAGAATGTTCCCATGCTCACTTGGGCAGAGTAGCCTCTGACATCTGGCTCCCACTACAGCGAGCCTAGCATCTACACACCTTCCACTAGCTCGGGCAAGGCCATCACCCCAGTCACACCCAACACTTCTTCCTCCGCCCACGACTTCAACTACTTCCCAGCACAGGACAAGGATGCTGCCGCCGTCTCGCAAGGTCAACCTTCATCCTCGAGCATCTCACAGCAAAAAGACGCAAAGTCTGATTTCGGATGAAGCAAGCTCCTACGACTCGGAAGACTATGATATCCAAGACACCTTGCAGACCGATGGTCGTCTTCAGATGCTCGAAGCCAACCAGCTTATGCACCTCAACACTGCACCCCAGTTCAGGTGTCCCTTCGCCCTCAAGGACGTCTACACGAAGCGGCATGCCATGACCATCGACAATCGCCATGCCTTGATCCAAGAGATTTGTGACGCCCTCCCTAGTCCGCCACAGACGTGCACCTACTCCATGACGTCTACGTGAAACTGCTCCACTCGATCCATGACAACATCGTTCACATCCTTACGGTGCAAGTGATCCTCACTGAGCTGCTCACCGATTCTTCCTTTGAGCAGCGCAATCGATACGCCTTTGGTCAGATTACCACTGCCCTCATGGTCATCTTTGCCGCTTTGCGATTTGCTCCACTTGACTGCGCCTATACTTGGAGCAGACGTGGAAGCAGCAGCACCAGCGGCAGCGACAATGGCTATGCCCGAGTCAATGCACTCTCGCAGAAGGATATTCGCCAACGTCAACGGAGAATCTATTCGCTCGTCAAGCGTATTCAACGTTTCGATCGACCTTCACCTTTGGCAGTGTCTAAGAGTTGCAGACTTCCGTACTGATGCTCGCGTGAGGAAAAGGGTCGTCATCGTTCCTCGACTCGCTCACTAATTGTGCCATCCGCTCTGCTATGCGCATGCGCATCCATCGTTTGGGATTCTCCGACAAGTTGCACAGCCCGAAGGCCAGACCTAACCAGGTCATCACAGGCGAGATGGCAGTGCGTTGCTGGTGGGCACTTGTCTGTCGCGATTGGAGCCAGAGCAACAAACATCGCACCTACCGTATTGCTCCCTCGCACTTCAATACTCGTCAACCCCTCAATCTCTTCGACGATGAGCTGCTCATCATTCCTTGCCTTGCTTTGCATCTTCGATCAACGCGGACGCACGTCAGCTACTCGTACGCCACCATCGACTTTGCCATGATGACCCGCATTCCAGTGGATCAGGTCAATGCGCAGTCGGATCTAGACACCGGTCCCGATTCGGCGCAGGGATGGGGTCTTGCTTCCATGTTCGGTCAGCGCTTGTCTTCAGCACAGCGAGACTCGCTTGATCAGATGTTCCAATCCATCATCGCTGCCTTCCCTGCGCACTATTCTCTGGAGGTACGCTACGACGTCATTGCGCTGGTCGATATCAAACGATGGCTGCTACACCAGCGACTCTTCTATCTGTTCTTGACGCTGCATGTGCCGCTGGTGTCGGAAGCAACTCGACCGCATGGCAGCTTGATGTACATGGCGAACCACATCCTCCACATTCAGGATAAGGTGACTGACGTCAACACTCGTCTTGATAACAGCTACCTCATCACGCTGCAGACGCTGCGTGGATGCCTAGCGCTTCTGTTGGATCTCGTCTTCACTGATGCGCCTGTCAACATCAGTGGGTTGACACGTCTAATGACGCGCCGCAAGATCATTACCGCTCTCGAAAAAATTCCGATGGATGTGCTGTCGAGCACCACCACCAAGCTGAGCATCCAGCTTGTGAGGCTTCTTATGTCGTTGGAAGAGCAGCATCATCGCTTGCAGCTCGGTTCAGGCGCTTCCTCTGTCGATATGTCGCCTGGAGCAGCCAGTGATATGACGCCGGTAGCGCAAGAGCCAACAATCGATGTCATCGCCGACGCAGCTACTCTACGCAATCGCTGGCATGCGACGTGTCAGATCCTCGACGTGCTTCTCAATGACGGCTACTGGCGCTCTTTCCGCAAGAATCGGCTCCAGCTCGACCATTTGATCCCTGAATGGCTGCAGAAGCCACAGCGAGAAGAGCATAACGTGAAGCCGATGCAAGTGGCAAGCTCATCGGCAGAGGTGATGCAGACACAGATCGCTTCGGGTGTACCTCTGTGCATGTCACCGGAGGTGATGATATCGCCATCTTAGCCTCAGGCGTCGTTTGCGTCGAGACTCGAGCACGCTTTCGATTCGGGTACGGCCGAAGCTGTGCTCGGCCCTCTCAACGATCTGGGTCTCATTCTGCCCTTCGACCCCAAGCTTTGGGAGGATCTCGATGTCTCTGGTTTCGACGTGCCCGATGGACCATCGCAGATGCCTCAATTCGATATGGATCTGTTGGGTCACCAAGATTTCGAAGGGATCGGCAATTCAAGTCAGTCGATCGACTTTGCCAAGATGCTCATGGATTGGCGTGTCGACGTTCCTCTCAACTCTTGACATCACATATATACGTTGTGTCTTCCCTGTTATCGTCTCTCGCATGTAATTTTAAGTCGTAATAGATTCCGTGATGTTCCTTACTTGGGTTACGGATGATGGCAGTCAGTTCGTCTGAGTAGCAACTTCTGAGATGGCGTGTTTCATCTCAAGGATCGAGGATGGCGGTATTCGAGCTTGCTTCTGTCATTGAAAAGATGCTGGGAGACAGTGTCAAGACAGCACTGGGTCAACTATCATGATCGTGGACTTCCCTTCTCCCCCTACATCCTCGTGAGATTCCTTTGAGCGGTGAGCTAATTGACAAGGTTACATCAGTATGGGTAAGCTCGATAATATGGACGCTAGAAGAAGGCCTCACTGCGCCCTGTAGGACACCAATACCCTGGTGAGTCGAGGCAGTATTAGAAAGGTAAATTCTTATTGATGTGGCGCATAGTACATCAGAACGGATAGAAGTGCCAAGGAGCGACCATCCTGTGCTGTAGAGTGAGGGAGACATCGAACGTTGCTGGGGCGCTTCACTTGGACTTTGCGGCGGAGCCGTTAACGGCTCGCCATTGCGTGCGTGCGCCCATGATGGAAGAAGCACATCCGGCGAGACCAAGAATACCTTCGTCGAGGCCAAGAATGTCGGCGCCAGTAGCGGGGATGAGCCAGTCGAGTGCATCCTGAGTCATCTGGTAGCGAACAGCAGCCTGTTCTGTCGAGATCTGAGCAAGTTCGACCTTGCGGTCCGCCTCCTTCTCTGCGGTGGCACGAGGACGCTTGGCGCTAGCGGCGCGCTGTTGGAGGACGTAGGTCTTGTAGCTGCCCGAGGCGAGGGAGAAAGTGAGGCCGAGAAGCCAGAATCGGGAGGCATTCTTGGAGATCTTGTCGGCAGTCGTCTTTTCAAATTGGTAGACCTTGGCGCCGTGGATCCACTGGAGTGTGTCGAGGATGAGGTAGAAGCCGTATCCAAGCTGTCGTCCGATAGCAGCATAGGAGACGACAGGGTCCTGAATGGTGGTGGCCTTGAGTGCGGCCTGGAAGTGCTCGAGGAATTTGCCAACACGCATGAGCTTTCGGCTGAGACCCAATTGTGCCTTGAGTGCGGTCAAGCGAGCAACGGTCTCTTTGGTAGCACCTTTGCGGTATTCGTACCATGCGAGGAAGCGAGCGGCATACTGGATGGTACGGTAGGTCTTGTCCCTACCGACGGTGGTGGACCAGAATCGCAAGAGTTGCGAAAGGTATGGGTGGAGAATGATCTGCTGCAGCGCTGACATCTTGAGTGCGTGAAGAATGGTGACCAAGGTGATGGAAGGAAGAAGGGATGCCAAGTGCGGATAAGTAGGTCTTGAGTCCGAGTGCGGGTTGAGTGTCACTGATTGCGCTGATTCTGCGTCTGTCTGAGAGAGGACAGTGTGAGCGACGACTTCTCCGCGCTCGAGCGTGTGAAAAATGTATTTGAACAACTTAGCTCTGTTAGTCGGTCTCGTATCACATTCGGCAGGAGAGCTAGTCTTTGGTGACATCTCAGTGTTTCGCGCCGGTTGCATTCATTTTCAGGTACACGGGTACACAATCCTCAACATGGAATTGAATGAGACTTCAATCCGGACTCAGAATTGCATACGTCAAAGTCTGCCGATATCGTTGTCGACCGCTAGTACGACTTTTCACTTTGCTGTCTGTGATGTAAACAATATAACCATAGCGATCCACCACAAATGGCGCGGGACGTTGGATGCTGTGCGGGTCGAGGCCGGTCTCAAAAACTCAAACAGTCGGGACAGAACAAGAGCGAAGGGAAGGAAAAAACAATGGACATATTGCATTTTGATACGACTCGTCCTCCTCGAACAGAGCCGAGTCAACAAGACGAAAGCGGAGGACAAGACCGAAAACACCGAAGATATGACCTTGCGCAGTGCAAACGCTTGTTGCGCTTACTGTAAATTACGGGTTGAACATCACAAAAAATAGGATCGGAGGATATCACACGAAGAGAAGATAGAGATAAGATGTATTAGCACCTTGTTGAAAGCTTCACAGCGGACAGAAATCTTGAGCAGGATACTTACGAGCTTGTCTGTTGATTGAAGTGGGAAAAATTGCAAACAAATGGCGGAAATTATCGGCGAAACCCGGGAAAAAGTACGGAAACAAGACAGATATGGTGTCAGTAAACTTCTTCGTCATCATAACGGTGCAAAACGTCGGGATTTTTTGGGTGGTAGTACCATAATACTGCTCGAGTGGGGGGATCTCCAGCTTGAGACCCTTGCGCTTTCGGATGTTGGTGACAATATCCTGGGTCTTACCGGCCTCCAAAGGAGTTCCGGGAAGGAGCTGCCAGTGGTCGAAGACGGATTGAGGGAAAGCCTGACCGGAGGTGGCCTGTCGGAGATCGGCGTTGAAGCCGAACGACTCGTTGACGGGCAAGTAAGCCTTGACGGTCACCATGGGGGTACCAACACGAGGCTCCTCGGAGAAGACGTGGCCACGACGCCTGTTCAAGCACGAGTAGATACCACCGAGACCGGAGTCGGGGCACTGGATCTCGACAAGGTAGACGGGCTCCTGAACACCGGGCTGGGCAAGGAGAGCGGCGGCGTAGCAGACACGTCGGCAAGTGGGGATGAGCTGTCCACCACCACGGTGAATGGCATCAGTGTGGAGGGTAACATCGAGGATGTTGAATCGGGTACCACGCATGGGCTCCTCGGCGCAGACACCTTCCTTGGTGGCCCACTGGAAGGCAGCAACACACGAATCCTTGATTTCGTTGAGGTACTGAACACCCTTGGTGACATCAACGAGAAGGTTAGGACCGGTGGTCTCGGGACCGAAGCACCAAATCTTACGGGCGTCGGTGACATCCCAACCGTACTCGTCTGCAAGGATACGGGCACGAGCCTTGAAGTCATCACGAGGGGTCATCTTTCCGGCTTCGATGAGCTTGGAGAGCTCCTCGTCGATGGGCATAGCTTTGACGAAGAGACGGTTGTGCTTGTTCTGCGACTTGGAGAGAGCAACCATGGAGGACTCGGCCTGAACGGTCTCACGGTAACCGACGACGGGGTCCGAGATCTTGAGAGGAATCTGGGCGTGGTCCTCCTCGAGATCCTTGAGGACAATCTCGAGATGGAGCTCGCCGGCACCGGCAACAATGTGCTCACCGGTCTCGGAGATCCAAGCCTGGACACATGGGTCGGACTTGGAGAGACGCTTGAGACCTTCGACAAGCTTGGGCAAGTCGTTGGCGTTCTTGACCTCGACGGCAACCTGCACGACGGGCGAGACGGAGAACTTCATGACCTTAAGGTTGTGGGCAGTCTCAGAGGTGGTAAGGGTACCGGACTTGAGCAAGAACTGGTCGACACCAACAAGACCGAGAATGTTACCGGCGGGGCAGTCCTCGATGGGCTCAACGTAACGACCCATCATGAGCACGGTACGCTGGATGGACTTGACAAAGAGGTCCTCCTTCTTACCGGGGGTGTAGTTGGGACCCTGGATGCGGATCTTGGGGCCCGACTTGACGGTACCGGAGAAGATACGGCCGAAGGCATAGAAACGACCCTTGTCCGAGGTGGGGACCATCTTGGAGACGTAAAGCATGAGGGGACCCTTGGGGTCACAGTCACGGATACCGATGGCGGACTCGTCGTCGAGGGGACCCTCGTAAAGGGTCTCGACACGGTAGCGCTGAGCGGTAACGGGCGAGGGAAGGTGGATGACAATCATCTCGAGGAGAGCGTCACCGGCGGGAAGGAACTTACGCATGGCGACCTTGAGGAGCTGCTTGCCCTCGAGGTCCTGCTCCTCCTGAGTGAGCTTGACGTCGAGCTTCTCGAGAATCTTGGGGATCTCGTCCTTCTTGAAGTTCATGATGGCGTCGAAGACACGGAAGATGGGGTCAAGGACGAACATGTTGAAGGCACGCTCGAGGGGCTTGCCATCGGCGTCGGTGTCCTTGGTGGTCCACTTCTTGGTCTTGGGGTTGAAGAAGTTGTCACCCCAGAGCTTGACCATCATCTTTTCCTTGTCGACACCGAACTTCTTGGCATAACGGTTGGCGAATTGGCGGAGGGTGAAAGCCCAGCCGTGGAGACCGGAGGCGAAGGCGACGGTACCCTTCTCAGGGTAGACCTGGCTCTCACCGAGGACGGGGTCGTTGTAGGTGGCGATAACGACGTTGACGGACTCGATGGTACGCATGAAGGACTGGTAGAGGTCCTCCTTGCCGACCTGGAGCTCGAGAAGGGCACGGTCGACCTTGTTCAAGCAGACGACGGGCTTGATACGTTCGGTAAGAGCCTGACGAAGAACGGTCTCGGTCTGGACACAGACACCCTCGATACAGTCGACAACGACAAGGGCACCGTCAGTGACACGGAGAGCGGCGGTAACCTCGGAGGAGAAGTCAACGTGACCGGGAGAGTCGATAAGGTTAATCAAGAACTCGTTACCGTCCTTCTTCTGGGCGATGGCGTCAAGGGATTCCTTCTCCATGGGGAAGTACATGGAAATGGCGGTGGACTTGATGGTGATACCACGCTCCTTCTCGTCATCACGGGTGTCCATGAAACGGGTGTCACCAGCCTTTGCGCCAGCAATAATACCGGCCTTGGAGACGAGGGAGTCGGTAAGGGTGGATTTACCGTGGTCGACGTGGGCAATGACCGACATGTTACGAATGTTGGTGGGCTTGTCCATGAGGCCACGGATCTCGTCGACGGTGAAGCTGTAGAGTGGAACATGATAGGAGACGATCCGATTCGCAGCAAGGGTCAGTATATGGCGATGCAATGCTTAAGATGGATTCTAGCAACACCATCCCTTCGGACATACACCACAAAGGAGATGCTTATCATCATGTCACGAATTCGCTCAACTCGTGCACTCAGAGCTGTTTCTTTGCGGTCGAACGATGACAATTGCTGTGTTTTTTGTTTTGGGAATACTCACTTAACCATCTTGACTGTACACTAGCGTCGGTGCGCTGAGGAACGAGGGAGACGGATAGGGGAAAGGGGATGGGTGGTGATAGTAGAGGAAGAAGGTGAGGAGGACGGTATCGAACTCAAGGGACGCAGCTGCTGCGGGACAGCGAATCAGGCAGCAGACGGCGATATCGCAAATTCTGCACTGTACAATGTACAAAAAGGTGTTAAGGACGGGGGACATGCAAATCTTGACAAGCTGGGCGATCGCAATCCGAGAGGCAGCTCAGCACAGTGTAAAGCTGAGTCCAGCGCAGAAAATTTTTTAGACATAGAGAGGCTGAAGCGAGAAGGATAATCCCACGGCGGACGACAAGAGGCGGTTTGATCCCTTCCCTCTGGAGTTTTTCAGGCAAGAGAATATATTGTATTGTTTAGCAGCTCAATCAAATATTTCCAGCCCAACAATACAAAGGATAAAGGACGTTCAAAGTTGGCCACTGTGCCAGTGCCTGACCGCCGCTCGCTTGCAGATGTGGATTTATCGAGCAATACAAATTGCTTTGGTATTCCAAGAAGAAAGCGCGCGCACACACCAACTAGGAAAAAAAGGGCTCACAGCCTTTGCACGCAAACCAGGGACAACGGCTTGGAGCGCAGCTCAGCACGACCAGCAGCAAAGCTTAGAGGAGATGGTGGAGCAATTCTGTCGGCAACGAGCTACCCTGGGGCAGACTCCTGCAGTCCTTCAGCTCTCTCTTTCTTATCTTTCCAGATAGTCTCGGCGGTGTTGATGCTGGATCTGAGCATATTACAATGTAATTGAGACGACGGAAACGGCTCGGCTGATGGTGTGCGATGATGTTCGGCCGCAGCTGAGATGGAGTTGGGCTTTGCCGCAGCTCACCAAATCTAGATCGCCAGATCATGTCGCGCGAAAGTTGATTCCCCGATCTCGGATCGACTCTTCCTCGTCTCGAATCGGGGAAAATCAAGATGGAAAAGATATAGCAGAGAGAGGGTCGTGTGTGTGTGTTCCTGTGCCTATTGCGTGTGACACTTGCTTTGTGTTACTTTGGAACGCGAAGCGACCGAACAACGCTCTTTTCTTCCTACCTCCGCCCTCAGCAACCATTTGTTCCCTAACCCCCACATTCAACCTCAGCAATATGGCGGACGAGTCCAAAGTCTTCTCCCTTGTAGGTCAGGGCCTCAAACTCGACTCCAAGGCCGACATTCAGCCCCACCTCGAAAAGCTGGAACAGATCACCGACCTCGAAGAGGTTCATCTTGGCGGCAACACGCTCGGTGTCGATGCATGCCAAGCTCTCGCTGATGTCTTGAAGAACAAGAAGACGCTCAAAGTCGCCGACTTTGCCGATATCTTCACCGGCCGACTCATCACAGAGATTCCTGACGCTCTCCGTGCCCTCTGCGATGCTCTCACCGACCACACCAGCCTTGTAGAGATCAATTTGTCCGACAATGCTTTCGGTGGCCGATCTGCCCAACCCATGGTCAACTTCCTCAAGAACAACCACAGCTTCTCCGTCCTCAAACTCAACAACAACGGTCTCGGTATTACTGGCGGTACCATAGTCGCCGAAGCTCTCTACGAGGCTGCACAGAACCTCAACGCAAAGGGCCTCCAATCCAACCTTCGTACCGTAATTTGCGGACGCAATCGCCTAGAGAATGGCTCCGCTCCTGTCTGGGCCAAAGCCTACGCTGCTCACCGCGGATTGGTCGAGGTTCGCATGTTCCAGAATGGTATTCGCATGGAGGGTATCGAAGCCATCAGCAAAGGTCTTGCCTCATGCCCCAACCTCGAAGTTCTCGATCTTCAAGACAACACCGCCACCCTTCGAGGCTCCCGCGCCATCGCCGCTTGTCTTCCCAAGTGGCCTAAGCTCAAGACCCTCAACCTTTCCGACTGTCTGCTGAAACCCAAAGGTGGCGCACTCGTGTTTGGTGCGCTTGCGAACGGCAGCAACCCAGCACTCGAGACCATCCAAGTCCAGTACTGTGACTTGGATCGAAAGGTCTTGCATCAGCTCGGAAGCGCCATTGAACTCCACCTCATCAGCCTTACCAAACTCGACATCAACGGCAACTGGGCCGATGAGGAAGACGAGTGCATCGAAAAGATTAAGAGTGCGCTAGCCAAGCACGGCCACGAGGACGCACTGCTCGAACTCGACGAGATGTAAGTTGACCTCTACTGACGCATCGATGAGTTCCAAGGATCTTAAAGCTAACATTATCTATTGCCTCTAATCTGTTCGCAATTACAGGGACCCTGATGGAGAAGAGAGCGAAGGCGAAGAGGAAGAAGAAGCTGACCAAGAAGAAGAGGATGCCGACAAGGAAGTGAGCAAGCCAGCAGCTCCTGAAACCCAGGACGAGACTGATGAGCTCGCTGCTGCTCTCTCAAAGACGAGTCTGGATAACAAGTAAGCGCACCCTACACTTTATATCTCTGCATAGACTCTCCCAAGGATCATACACGAAACCTTCGCCCGACCGAATGACGCTAGCATGACATCTGGTGTAGCGGCACAGTGGCTGCATCGGTCGTGTCACGCGACTCGGTGTACTCTCAAATCCACATAGACACCAAACATGCTTTCCCTGCCAACGCCATGCTGTTCTTTCGCACTGACCCATACTGTACTTGTATCTCTCAATACATTTTCGTTTCGAAACGGCTTCCACTGTGTTCCTCTCGCCAGCACTCGAGCGAAGACCTCAGATGCACAGGATAAAAAGGCTCAGGCGCCCGAAAAGACCGCAGCTGCAGCACAACCTGATGTTCCTGCTGCCGAGGAAGTTACTGCAGCTCCAACCGCTGTTGAGCCCGAAGCAACCAACAAGCTTGCTACCGAGCAGGTCACTGCGACCAGCGGCGACGTAACATCCGCTCATGGTACACCGACCGACCCTGCTGTGGACCTCTCGGGCGAGCTCTATTCAAAAGATGCAGCCACGACATCTGCTCCAGCTCAGGGTGCTGTTGATGCGCCAAAGAAGAAGCGTGGCTTCCGTGCAGCTTGGGGCGCCATCCGTGAGTTGCTCAAGTGATGCTTCTCGTACATGAAAAGCTAGTTCAGATTAAGCGTGTCTGTCATATCTACCGTATCTCAGTGCATCATACTGTGTGATCAAGTGCGAGGTAGCTGTCTGTGATCTGCTTAGCGTGATGAGAGACGAGAGAACAAAGTATCGCTCTTTATCCTTGTGTGCCATCATTGCACAGTCGTATCCACTTGCAAGGCGCGCTCCGATGGCTCTGCAGAATGCAGGTGTTCGTGAACCTTTAAGAAACAGCTCATCATCGAAACTTCATGTGCCGCCAAGCCCACGCTGCCTGGTGCAGGTTTGAACTGATACTTGACCTTTGGATCGATCAATACGCACTCTCCCGCCTGTAGATTGACTTCCGCATCCTGATACGTTCCGAGAACGAGACGAATGTATCCAAATATAAGGAGGATGCTCCTCAGTACTGCCAAAAGGACGGAGGGTTCTGGAATGCGACTGGCAAATGGTGCACGCCTGCTGATGGCTCCACTTTTGACAACGTCTTCAACAAGGCCACCCTTTACGGTCACGCAGCAATATCATGGCAAACACGCAGCCTCTTCATTGTCACAGTCGATCAAATTGCTGGTTCTGCTTGTCACAGCTTCCATGCTGATCTCTTCTTTTACAGCCTGCTAGCCTTATCTTCGTTTAAAACCCACATCGTCAGCTCTGTTCCAGCTTATCCCCAAGCGAAGCTCGGCAAAGGAACATCCATATCTCAAGCACATCTCCGAAAGTAGAAACTGCTAATGTACAGTGTAGTGCGGGGACTTAGCTGGATTTCAACTCTTATCGTACACCTTCGGCTGGTCTTGGGGAGATAAGGCAGCCATGTACAGCAATGCTGCTTGTCAAAAGCATGCAATCATCATGCCACAAGCTCGACATTTTATCACGGCTGAGAGTGTCAGAATGCTTCTTCATTGCAGTATGCTTGCTAATGTCGAAACACTAGTCCGAAGGCCGGTCTGCTTCGATGTGTGTTCGTCCCAATTGTTTTCGATCCCAAGCTTTGATTTTACCATCACGCTCGACGCGAGACTTTTACGACAAGCTCTAAGCGGCTGATACGCTGCTTTCGTCGTATTCGAGGACTCTCGGATGGTGATAGACGATGTCGACCCATGGTCCTTGGAGAGATTTGACGCAGTTTTTGGCGTATGTTAGACCGTAATCAGCGACAAATTTATTTCGGAACTCGGCTGCCAGGATAGATACGCGCTTCGAAACTGTGAATTGACGAGCCTTTCTGTTTTGCGAGGCGCCGAGTGTGTTTGAGTTGGTCTCATCGTTTTTTCTTCAAGCTTTCATCATCATCCACGCCTTTCACGGATACAGTCTCTCGTCATCAGCCCCCTGATTTCGCTCGCGACAGTCTGCCTCTGCCTTCTCTATCCACAGAAGAGGCGGCACGGATGCAAATATGGCGGTGTTTTCATTATCGACACTCTTGCAAAATGTTCCGCCGGGAACTAGGGCCTTGACAGGAGCTCTCCTTGCCTCCTCGACTCTGCTTTTCTTCCTCCGTCTACGCACTGGGTTAGGGTTCGGAACAGCGAGCGCAGTGCAGTTTCCTTGGCTGGTCATCGTACCGGGCGCTAGTTTCTGGTATCCATGGACGCTGATCACCTCGAGCTTCTGCGAGTCGTCCATTCTCGAATTCTTGGTCTCGATCATTTCTCTTCCCCTCGCAGCAAGGTATCTCGAACGTCAGTGGGGTGCCATCGAGCTAGTCAAGTTTGCGGCTGTCGTCCTTGTCGGTAGCAACATCATTGCATGGGGGTTGCAACTTCTTCTGTTCTGTGTCTTCCGCAAGGAGGTGCTCATTTGGGGCACCCAGTTCCACGGTTTGCAAGCCTTACAGACCGCTTTCCTCGTCGCTTTCACCCAGCTCATCCCAGAGCACCAAGTCCAAATTCTGAGCGGTGCTCTGAAGATTCGAGTCAAAGATCTACCGATGCTGTACGTCACTGTCAGTAACGTCATGTGCCTGATCGGGTACACTTCGCCTTGGATTCTGATCCAGTTCGGATGGCTCATCTCGTGGGCCTACTTGCGATTCTTCAAAGTCAACGAATCTGGCTTCAAGGGAGACCGCAGCGAGGCATTTGCATTTGTCAATTGGTTCCCTCCCTTCGCCCAAAAGCCAGTCCAGTTCATCTCGACAACGCTATTCAACTTGTTCGTCAAGATTAAGATCGTCCAGCCGTGGACAAGCGGAGACTACGCCGACTTGGAATCTGCATCGTTGAATGGGCAAGTGCCTCAGCACGGCAGCGCTCGCGCCGAGGCAGAACGCCGTCGAGCTATGGCCCTCAAAGCGCTCGACCAACGTCTCTCGGCGAACAAGGGTTTTGGCTCTCGATCCAGCGGTCTTCAGCGCTCTGATTCGACCAAGTCGTCCGGATCCGTTACCGCATCCAAAGAGGCTGCAGCCTCATCCGCGTCGACAGCCGAAGAAACTGCATCAAGCTCAACCATCGCACCCACAGCCGCAATTCCCACTGTTGTCTTTGAGGCACCTCCAGAGGATCTGCCGTCGGAGAAGGAGTCAAAGTAGACCTCAATGCTCACCACAAATGTACAAATGTCACTACATTACTCTTCTCACGCAATCAAGGAAACAATCAACGCACTTAAAAGACGGCAATGCCCAGTAAAGAGAGCAATGATTTTGGTGACAAAACAATGCATTGATGATCGGATAAATGTGTATGCTGCGAAAGGTGTGGAGATATAGGAATGCAAAAGTGTCAAGAGCGAGGTGACAGTGTTGCTCTGACACACGACAATGCTGTGGATCAGTTGCGTGGCCCGTAGCCTTTTGCTGCTCTGGGTTTGTGATTGGATGAGCCAAGCTTCTTGCCGTCGCGCTTGGCCTTCCTCTTGAAAGCACGTAGTTCCTTCTTCATACGAGGATCGACCATCTTGTAACGACCCTTGGTACCCTTGGGTCGACCTTTGAGACCTCGATTGACACCTTTGGCGACGACAAGCTGCACTTCCTTTTTCTTCTGACCGCCCTTGACCGACTTGGAAAGCAACTTGTTGATGGTCGAGGACTTTTCTTTCTCCGAGATGTCCTCATTCTCGTTGATGGTCTCGGCCTTCTTCTGCGCCTTCTCTAGACGACGCAGCGTGCGCATCTTCTTCCTCGCCTTGGCTTCAGCCACCTTCTTGATAGGTCTTGCGTCGAGAGCACGTTGACGCTCGCGCAGAGCCTGCACGGCCTCCTTAGTGATGGGGATGTTGGCCTTGTAGTACTTCTGTTCGTCATCGAGGAACCATGTTGGCAAACCGTCCTTGTCGACAAAATTGTTCTTAGAAAAGCCCTGGTCCATAAGATCTTCCTTGGTGATCTTGCGGTTGACCAGCGCCTGTGCCAATGAGACGGCTTCGGCGGTGGCAAGACCGTGATCCTGAATACGCTTCTGCTTGCCGGCTTCTTGGTCCTCACCATCCAAGTCCCATTCGTCGTCAGGGATGGCGTCCTCTTCCTGATCCTGAAGAACGACTTCAAAGTCATTTTCTTGCTCCTCATCGCTGTCGGCAACAGAGCCCACGTCTTCGTCGCTGTCCACTTCTTCGTCGTCCCCGGCCTCCTCCCACTCATCCTCGTCATTCTCCTCTTCGTCTGGCAATTGCTCGATATCAGCGACTGGAGTCTCCAGTCCGAGATCCTTGAAGAGCGGGTTGTCAAACCAGATGGATGCTTCGCGACTCTGTTGAGCGCTGAGAGCGGCATCGCTGACGAGACTATTGACAAGCGAGCGCTTTGCAGGCTTGCCGGCGTTGTCAGCATTATCGAGCTCCGAACGCTCCGATGATATGGCAGCAGCATCCCGCTTCCTCTTCTTGGATGACTGCAAGACTTCACGCTCTAGACGTTCATCCTCCTCGTCCTCTTCGTCATCGGTGTCGAATGTCTCCTCCTGCTCCTTGCGCCTCTGAACGACGTGGTATCCTCCTTCGCTCTCGTCGCTTTCATTGCCTTCGTCTTCGTCCTCGTCTTCTTCGTCGTCATCTTTGATACCGTGCCACGAGTCGTTCTTGGCATCTTTGAGACGGGCCTGTTTGGCGCGGAACTTGGCATCGCGCTCCGACTGCTTTGTCTTGAACTCGTCGTAGAGCGCGTCCATCTCTGCATCCAAACGCTTTGCGCGCACCTCTGGGTCATCGTCATCGTCATCGTGCGAGCTGACGATGGTCTCGCTCTCATCGTCGCTGAGATCAGCCTGTTGCATGGCGGCTTTTTTGGAGACCTTCTCGCCAGAACCGATGTCAAAGATGTCACCGTTGCCAGCACCGAGTTGGTCATCCATGACGTCCATACCGATGTCCATGGGAGTGGTCATTTGCAGCTGCATCTTGAGGATCTTCTTTTGACGCATCTCGTTCTTACGCCGCCTCTCCTTGCGTGCCTTTCTGGCGGCTTCTTCGTTGAGTCGGACGAGCTCGTCATCGATCTGGTCATCCTCGTCCATCTCCTCAACTTCGACCGTCTCGGTCTGCTCTGCGAGATCCTTCTGCTTTGACTTTGGGACATCGAGACCGAGTGTCAAACGCACTTCCTTACGCCAGTTCATGAGATTGCGGAAGTCCTTCTTTCCGAGAACTTTGAGATCGGAGCAGTTCTCTCGCATTTCATCGGTAGTATCGGGGAGATGGAGGAGCTTCCTGCTTTCGTCTGACTTGAACGAGATCTCGTTGTACGAACCAAGCATGCCGACGACGTCTTGACCCTTGACAAAGTCCATGGCATCGAGGGAGTGGAAAAGGGTATAATCTCCGTCGGCGTAACCTTCTCTGTGTTTGCGGACCTTCTTGGGTTCAAAGACATTGGCATGTGCGTTACCCGCTGATGTACCTTTGAGACTGAGGGGCACACCGGCTTCCTGATCTTCGGGAGCGAGCGCGGCAGGGTCGAGCTCCTTGAAAACATGGTGGGGGTCGAGGAACTTGGGGTCAATACGAGCAGGGTTCTTGTAGCCTTGGCAGACAACGAAGATCTCTGCGGATACGTTACGAGACGAGGAGGGCTTGGTGGCCTCGACCTTTTTGAAGAGCTGATTGAATACCCAAAGAAGGTTGTTGTAATCTTTTGATCGGAAGACCTTGGTGACGAATGTACCGCCAGCGTTGAGGAACTCTACAGCGAGACGTAAGGATTGAAGTGTGAGCTCGGATTGAGCATATGCATCCTGAATCCAAGCAGTACCGACGTTGGGAGCACCGTCATGGATGACGATATCGGCCTTCCAATCTTTGAGAATCTGACGTAGCTGGTCTCTGCATTTGTATGAGTTGATGTCCTCGGCAAAGGTGATGGTTCTTGGGATGGGTTTGATAGGGACGAGATCGACACCGACGATGAGTGAGTTGGCGGGCATGTGCTTGGCAGCGACTTGCAGCCAACCACCTGGAGCAGCACACAAATCGATGCAGCATCTTGCCTTTTCGAGGAAGTTGTACTTCTTGTTGAGCTGGACGAGCTTGAAGGCGGCACGAGAGCGGTAGCCTTGCTCCTTTGCAAGCCAGTAGAACTTGTCGAGACGACCCTTGGCCGTCTTCTTGACCTGTTTACCCATCTTGGAGCGAGTGGCGATACGCTAACGCCGGGGAGATAGGAAGATGGGTCAAGGTGATATGGTGGATGGCGAGCAAACAATGCCACCGTCACTCTATCCGAAAAGGCTCAGCTCGTTCGTTGCTCGCCTGACAATTTCAACTTTTTCTAAAATTTCCAACTTTTTTTTTGGAAAAGCGATTCTGGTAGAGAAGACCCTGACTTGAGCATCTGTCGCACGAGAAGGAAGCTGCGGTCGCTGTTCCTCAGGGCGACGCACTTCTGCTGTCTCCTTCTCCAGCTGGGAGCGCGTTCAATTTGACTTGGCGGGGCGAATTGTATTGGCTGGAAGAAGTCTGACTTCAGGAAGAAAGCACTTCAAAAAGGCTCGAACAAAGGAAAGTGAAGGGGAAAAAAAAGAAAAAGACCAAAAAAACAATCCGATTCGAAGAGACAGAAGGAGCACACACACATGCCTGCTCTACACTTTGAAAGCTCTTCATCGTCGTCGTTAGGACTGGCTGCAATTCTCACCTTCGTCTCTGCTTCTTATCTTACCCACACCATCATCCGTCAACATCCCCAAAACGGTCGTAGAGACCTCTTCCTTCACCTACGTAATCGTTTCGCCTCCGCCGTCAGCCCTTTACTGACTCTGATCGCAAAGTCAACTTCCGTCCAGCTGCGAATTGAAGTGTCTTTTGCATCAGACGCAATCAGCTCCGTTCCCTTTCATATACAGCAGCGCTGCCCGACAATATGCCCAGCGTAGACGACATCACCAACGGTGTCGATGAGCTCGATTTCATCGACGATGCCGACATTGACTTTTCCGACATTGAACAAAAGTACTCGGTCAAGTTCGACGAGGGTCTTGACGATGTGATCGTTATCGAAGGTGTTCCTGTCATCACCGAGTCGCGTCAGCAGAAGCTTTTCGAGACCATTCAGAAGCGATTCAAAACTCACGCCGGCATCGACGTTGCCGTCGAGGGCATGCACATCCCTTACGCCGACAGTGGAGAATCTAAGGGTTACCTTTTCGTCGAGATGGCTTCCGCCGAGGATGCCGCTCAGGCCATCCGTCAGATGGACGGCTACGCTTTCGACAAGAAGCACCGTTTCTCCGTCCACCGATTCACCGACGTCGAAAAGTACGCCAACCTCTCAAAAGAGTACGTCGAGCCCGCTGAAGAGGAGTTCAAGCCTCGCGAGCACCTCCGCTCCTGGCTCGCAGACCCCGCCGGCCGTGACCAGCTTGTCATTTGCCGTGGTGACGACGTCGAGATTGCATGGCACAACCGCGCTTCCGATCCTCAGGTCGAACACAACCGTCCTCGCTGGACGGAAAGCTACGTTCAGTGGTCTCCTCTCGGCACTTTCCTCACCACCTTCCACCGCCAAGGTATCCAGATCTGGGGTGGCCCCTCATGCGAGCGATTCATGCGATTCCCTCATCCAGGCGCCCGTCTCGTCGATTTTTCCCCAAGCGAACGTTTCATGGTCACTTGGTCTCACGAGCCTATCCAGGTTCCCGACAACGCTCCCATTGGTCCTCAGTTCTTCGGCCCTGAAGACGAGGGCAACCGCATCGCCATCTGGGAGGTCCGAACCGGTCATCTCTTGCGTACCTTCCCCGTTCCTCAGGACGAGAGCGGTCAACCAGGCCAGCTGAAAGGCTTCTCTTGGCCTTTCCTCAAGTGGAGCCCCGATGACAAGTACTGCGCTCGTCTCAACCCGGGCCAGGCTATCAGCGTGTACGAGACCCCTTCTATGGGTCTGCTCGAAAAGAAGTCGATCAAGATCGAGGGTGTCGTCGACTTTGAATGGTGCCCCATGGGCGACAAGGATCGCGAGGCGGCTGAATCCAGCAAACCCAACAAGAAGGTCCGAGACAACATGATCGTCTACTGGCAGCCCGAGGTGGCCAACCAGCCTGCACGTGTCACCGTCATGGCCGTGCCCTCAAGAACCATTCTCCGCTCCAAGAACCTCTTCAACGTTTCCGACTGCAAGCTTCACTGGCACCCTCAGGGTGACTACCTCTGTGTCAAGGTCGACCGTCACACCAAAACCAAGAAGTCCATGTTCTGCAACCTCGAGATCTTCCGCATGCGAGAAAAGGATCTACCCGTCGAGGTTGTCGAGCTCAAAGATGCCGTCACCGCCTTTGCATGGGAGCCACACGGAACCCATTTTGCCCTCATCTCGAGCAACGATCCTCAGCTCGGTACACCGGCACCCGGTATCACTATCAAGACTCAGCTCAACTTCTTCCACCTCCACCCCAAGGGTGATTTCCGCCTGCTCAAGGCATTCGACAACAAGACCGTCAATGCCCTCTTCTGGTCGCCCCGTGGCCGTCACATCATCGTTGTTACCCTCGGCAGCTCGCAAAAGTTCGACCTGGAATGGTACGACGTCGACTTCATGCACGAGGTTCGACAGGGCAACCCATCCGCCGACCCTGCCGACGACGTCAAGCTCATCGGCACTGGTGAGCACTACGGTATCACTGACCTCGAGTGGGACCCATCAGGCCGCTATGTTGCCACCTCGGCATCCGTTTGGCGCCATTCGCTTGAGAACGGTTTCGCCATCTGGGATTTCAAGGGCCAGGAGTTGCAAAAGCACATCCAGGACCGATTCAAGCAGATCTTGTGGCGTCCTCGCCCACGCACGTTGCTCTCCAAGGAGGACCAGAAGAAGGTGCGCAAGAACTTGCGCGAGTACTCCAAGCAGTTCGAGGAGGCTGATGCTGCCGAGGAGTCCAATCTCGCTTCAGCAGAGCGCGAGCTGTACCAGCGTATTTTGGAAGAATGGAAGGCATGGCGCGCACGAGCTCGCCAAGACTTGGAAGAGCTGCGTGCCGAACTCGGGCGCGAGGCTGTGGGACAAAGCGTCGATCACGCCAAGAACCTTGCCGAGGAAGCCACCGAGGAGGTGCAGGAGTGGATGGAGGAGATCATCGAGGAAACCGAAGAGCTGCTCAACTGAGCACTTTGTGGTTTGCCTACGAACACGATGATGTCTCCAGTTCTCACATTCTGATAAATTCACGATGCATCGCGCCCTTTCAGCTACATGGCTCCTATGATACACCATCAATTGTACACATTAGCTCCCCATCCTCACGTCTGTGTGCTATCGGCTCCTGATGCTTTGCTGAGTAGATTTTGGTGAGTAGCGTTATCTCTCCAATGGAGAAGAGGTTCTGTTCGAGCGATGGAGCCATTGTGTCATGTGTCTGTATTAGCGCTAAGGCAGGGGTGATGCATGTTGCTTTTGGCGGGCCCGATGATTGGTTGGTTGTTACATTGCGGTGACATTGTGATTGGTGTTTTACAAGATTGTGGGGTCAATTCGAGGACGGTATTGTTGAGGCTGAAGAATCCGATGAGTCGGCAGCCGAGCTGGCATGGCGAAAGGCCCGTCTCCAATGCGCAAGTCCGAGCTCTTGCATATCCTTCTCAATGTCGTGTGGCAGGTTGATATGCTTGACAGACTTTGGCTCGAAGGTTGCCTCGAGGAGTCTTGTTGTTTTTCGCTGCATGTATTCGATCTGTGAAAAGTCACTTCTTCGAAGTCCGCCGCCCCAAGATGGATGCTTGAAGAAGTAGCGCAAGTAGATGGTGAAATCTCGTCGATGTTCCTGTCAAGTACGACGGGCGGAAGCGTGTGTGCGTGAATCGAGCAGATCGAACAGAGCATTTGACAGATATATCGGTCATTATCTTGGCTAAGATCCTGTCAAGACAGATTCGAGGAAAATCAACTTACCTGCTCTTTTGTCATGATCATTCGGAGACCCTTCCTATACAGGGCCAGGATCTCCTTTTGCGCTTGCGTCAGCTTTTTGACGGGCGGCATGGCGACGACGGTAGAATGTGTTTTAAGCAATCGATTCTAGGGCCGATAAAGCTGCATTGCAAAAAGAGAAGTTTCTTCGAAAGCACTGTCGGATGGTTGAGAATGGTGTGCGGAAAGAAGAGCGACTTAGGGTTGGATGTCTCAAGAAGCGATATTGCCGGACCCTGTTGAACTTAGCTTTGATGGAGTTTGGTCCCGATAACTGGCGATCGGGTGGAGTCTAAGTACAATGTCACTGCTAGTTTTAGACAGAAACAAATATACTCAATTGACAGAGTGAACATGGCGAGAGCCTGGTGCTCCCAGCTTCATATATATACATATAGGTGGCACATGCCGAATGTGGGAGTTGCTATACCTAATGATCCAGAGTTGAAGTTCATGCAAGACACCACTTCATCCGGGCTATGTCCTAGCTCCTTTCATACAGGTGTGAGGTAGATGCAATACTTGAGATTTCTTATGAACTATGACTACAAGACCATCTGTATATATACCTTAGTCTCATGCTTGAGTAGCTCCATTTGTCACCTGTTAGTGAGTGTGCCATGTGATACCTCAGAGTTGTCTTATCTGTGCCTCAGCATTGTCTCCCACAAACCTCTTCTGATTGGTCACCACATGTCAGCCAATGCATGCATGTGTCAGGGGTCTCGTGCCTGAAACCCAGGTCGGTCTGTCGAGATACTCGGTGACTATCAAACTGTGCAACAGCTATTGTCTTGGTATCAGTCTTGACGAGCTATTCGCTTGGCAACTATCAAGTTGCACGATGGGTGGCATTTGGGTATATACTATCATAGGTTTTGGCTGACCTCTGTGGACACTCTGTTCAGGGGTAGCTCGGCACGATCAATATCAATATGTATGTTATGATGACACCAAGGTCTGGTGTGAGTGTTGATGATGATGAGGTCAATGGTGTTGGTGATAAGGTTGGTGAATGTTGATGGTAATGAGGTTGATGGTGTTGGTGATAAGGTTGGTGGCATCAACGCAAGTGTCCAGTGTGTTGACTGATGCTTGAGGTGATCCCTGGACCGCAGTGGACTACTGCCTTCAGTTCTAACTATATCTGGACCACTGACCTGCTATGGGTCACCTTTGGACATCAGGTAGTGGTGATACAACACACACACTACAATGAGGAGCAACCTTGATAGATTGCTGCTATGCTGACTGAAACTAATATATACTTATGCTGAAGTGATAACTAGTTATGATGGGTGTAGAGTGGATGAGGATCCACTTGACCTTTGATGATGAGAAAGCATGGTTATATACCTCTTCACAGCATCGCCAGCGATGCTGCTCCTGCTCTCTCTCCAGAGAGTACCTTCTGTCATGGGCCTAAGCTGCGCAGAGCGAGGGAAGGTTGAAATGATATGAAGGCAGCACAGGAATCGTGGAATCGGGTAGATCATAAGAGCTGTGACAGAGTTCACCAAGATCGGCAGTTGAATCAGCTCTATGGCTGACCACAGCGAAATTGGCACGAGCATCATCAATATCACAAATCCCACCAGAATCTGCGACAAGCGAGACCTTGTGGCAGATTCCGCGGAGATCAGTAGCAAGGTTGTCTGTACGACAATTCACACATGAGAGGGACCGAGCTCAAGTGACACATGGATGGTTACCACTCAGAGGCCCACAAGACAGGAGTAAAAGAGAACTGTTGCCAGTCAGAGGAAGGAGAGCTGTGTAAAGGACACCAGTGAAAGGGACATGAAGAAGAGGAGCAGTGTCGATGAAGTTGACACAGCTCAGGTAAGACAGGAGGGACAAGGTCTGATATGGAGGAGGTGCCTCCTTGGAGACACCTGTACAATACTTGATGAAGAGGGTACTCTCTGGAGAGAGAGAGCAGGAGCAGTGTCACTGGCGATGCTGTGAAGAGATATATAGGCATACCTTCTTGTCATGAATGGTTGAGTGGATCCATCCACTCTACACTCATCAAACAAACTAGTATTACTTCAAGCAATAAGTATCATTAGTTCACAGTCAGCATAGAAGTAATCAACAGATTGCTCCTCATCGAAGCACATGTGTTGTATCACCGTTTCCTGACATCCGAAGGCAGTTTGTAGCAACCAGCGATCCAGATAACAATAGAACCGAAGGCAGACATCCACTGTGGCCCAGGGATCACTACAAGCATTAGCTGACACACTGGACACTCATGTTGGCATCATCAACCCATACTCACACCAGACCATTGGTGTCAATATCAAGCTCACTTAGAGTCATATTATAGTTTGATCATGCCGAGCTACCTCTGGATGGAGTGCCCACAGCAGTTAGTCGAAATCTGTTGTAACGATAATACAACTACAGATTCTAATGAGAAAGGTGACAGAGAAGGCTCTGTTGCATATTTCACTAAGAATCAAAATACCATTAGCACTGTCGCATAATTCGACAGAATCGGTGATAGTACTGATACTACTACTGATCTCAGGTTTCAGGCATGCGACCGCTGACATTAGAGTGGATCGTTCAAGCAGCACCCCATGATCACGATGACAGACCAAGGCCTCAACGATAAGCTCAACTGGCTTCTAGCACTATTGGAAGCCCAACTTGAGCTCACCAGGCAAGGCCAACGAGAAGAGCGACTTCGCTGTGCTCACCTAAGCAGAGAAGAGACGATTGAGTTCTTGCAATCAGAAGATCAAGCAGGAGGAGATGAATCCATGCTAGGAGACCCTCAGACTCCTACACCAGCATCACGACCAAGACGATTGGTCTCGTTTGCTGCTGTAGATGAGCAAGACGATGTTAATTACAAAAAGTATGCATCGCCCACTGGGCCAAGGTACTACAAACCCAGGGAGGATCCATATAGTAGGACTAGGACGGAACCTTATGCCCCATACTCGGAGGAGGATACTAGTGTATTGGCAGACCTCTCTCGATCAAAGCCAATCACCACACCCTTTCCTAAGTTTAACCCGCAAGATGTGGAGATATTCATTCTCGAAGCCGAAGCCTGGTTTAAGTTTAACCAGGTATATGAGCAAACAAGAATGATCAACCACATGGGCTCTCAATTGGAAGCGAATGCATGGGAGTGGTGGACCTCCAAGCTCCGAATTGACAGGGCATGGGAAGGAAGGTTATTCAATGACTGGCACTACTTTACAGAGCAGCTGTTGGAACAATTCAATCCCCAGAATGCTAGAATGGAAGCCTACAACAAGCTGCTGGCTCTCAAACTCACTAGCAATGCACCCAGTGCCACCACACGCCATGTGGAACATTTCAGAGACCTGGAAGGACAAGTCAATCTGGATGATAACAAACTCATCATTGACTTGTTCAGAGGCAGTCTCACATGTAGTCTGCAAGAAAAGTTTGAGCATAACCCACCTGCAAAGAGGTGGGGATGGTACCGAGAGGTTGAAGATATTGACCGACAGAGGATGCTGCTACAGCAGTCCTCTGCTAGGCATCCAAGCGCTGCCCCTCCATGATTGAACCCAGGAATCCAACCAACGCCACCCACTCAGAGTTCACTCCCCGTTCGGCAACTGGCACAAAGAAACTCCACTCGTATGCTGGCACCAATAATGGCAGGAAGCCCAAGCAGACCAACCAATTGGCTGCTACCTCAGCAGTATGTACCGGGCCCGAAACAAGGAGGCCCCACAGTACCAGGCAATAGCACTTGCCATATCTGCAAAGGTGTTGGACATTGGGCCAGAGACTGTCCAAGCAAGAAGGCAGATCCTCTGGGACCATGACCTTTGGGCCCAAGGGTCATGGTAACCACAGAAGACCCCTTCGAAGAAGGGGCCACTGACTCAGGGGATGGGCATACAGGCAGTGCTGAAACGAGTGACCCTGATGACCTAGACTTCAGTCAATACCAAATTCCTAATGACACTAATCATGAGGAACCCCAAGATGTCAATGATGAGGGAAACGACAGTGGGGCAATGCACTGATGGCATGCATGGCTCTACAAACCTCCTCGCCATCGTTGTGTATATATCAAGATTGCCAAATATGTTTCTCCACCAGCAAAGGAAAAGCAGTATTAGAGCTTACAGGAACAGTCCAAGACCATCCTGCTCATATACTTGCTGACACTGGTGCTGGCTTGTCCATAGTTTCAGATTCCTTTATCAGTAAGTACCTAATACCCACTAAACCCTCAAAAACAAGATCGATTCATGGTGTCACTGGACACCAGCTCGTTATCAATAGCACCACGACTGTACAGGTGGTTATTGGCAAGCACAGCCTAGGTGTAGTCAAAGTATCGGTAGCCGATACTGCCAACTACAACCTTATATTGGGATTCACCGAGCTCAGAAGGCTCAAGCCCACCATACAATGGGACACAGGCCAACTAGAGTTCAAGTCCCAGGACCGAAAATGACCCCCTGAAGCCACCGCAACTAGGGGCTTACAATCAAAAGCATCGAAATCAGTCATAGTAGCAGAACTGTCACAGAATTTGACGAAAGCCACCATAACAGGTGAGCAAAAACAGGAGCTTGCCATAAGAGATAGCTTATCACCAATTCCAATGAAATCTGTGGCAATGGGCTCCAACAAAGAAAAAATGGCACAACCAACCATGCATGGAAACAAGTTCGTCTCAGCGAAGCGCTTACTTCAGGCAGCTTTAGAGGATGGACCCATAGGGTTCATGTTATTGGAAGTACCACCCTCATCACTCCCAGCCTTCGGTTTCGTTCCTACCAGCACCGATAAAGGAGTAGAGATGGAGGTTGAGATCAAGAAGAAGGTGACGGCAGCAGATATACCAAAGCTGTACCAACACCTTCATGATGTGTTTGACAAGGTGGAAGCAGACAGGCTTCCCCAGCATACTGAACATGATCTTCACCTTGAACTAATGGAAGGAAGTCGACTGCCTCAGGGCCCACTGTATCTCAAAGGGCCTAAAGAAATGTCTGAATTGAGGAAGTATCTGGATGAGAACCTCACGAAGGGGTTCATACGACCATCGAAGAGTCCAGCAAGGTCACCTGTGCTCTTTGTACCTAAGAAAGATGGAGGCCTCAGGCTTTGTGTGGACTATTGGGGACTCAATGAGATTACTGTCAAGAACAGGGCTCTGTTGCCCCTCATTGAGGAGCAACTGTTCCTGCTCTGAAAGGTGAAGATCTATTCCAAGCTAGATCTCTGAGCAGCATACAACCTCATCCGCATCATGAAAGGAGATGAATGGAAAACAGTGTTTGGTACACAATTGGGACTATACAAGTACCTGGTGATGCCATTCAGGCTAGCAAACACACCAGCTCATTTCCAATCATTCATCAATGTCATCTTCCGAGACATCATCAGAGTATATGTTGTTGTATACTTGGACGACTTCCTCATCTTCAGTGACACAGAGGAAGCACACATATGACATGTCACTGAAGTTCTCACCCATTTGAGAAACAATCAGCTGTTTGCTAAACTGTCGAAGTGTGAGTTCCACACCATGGCAGTAGAGTTTCTAGGGTACATCATCAAACCCACAGGGGTAGAGATGAATCCTGAGAAAGTATGGACAGTCAAGGAGTGGCCAATGCTGGAATCAATCCATGATATCCAAAGATTCCTTGGCTTTGCCAACTTCTACAGGCGATTCATTGCTCACTTTGCTCGAATCGCCAAGCCACTAACATCACTGGTGAAACCGACTGAATGTTTCAAGAAGTTTGAGTTGCCGGAAGAAGCTTGACAAGCTTTCCACAAACTCATCCAAGCATTCATGATGGCTGGAGTACTTCGTCACTTCAATTACCACCTTCCTACAAGGCTGGAAACAGATGCAAGTGACTTTGCCATCGCTGGAGTGCTCAAACAAGAGCATGAAGGGTGTTGGCACCCAGTAGCATTTTATTCAAGGAAGATGTCATTGTCTGAGAAAAACTATGAGATCCACGACAAGGAACTCCTTGCAGTGGTCGCCTGCCTCACTCAGTGGCGACACATGCTAGCAGGACTACCAAGTCAGTTAGTCATTCTCACAGATCATGAAGTGCTCAAGTACTTTAAGTCACAATGTCATATCACTGGCAGACAAGCAAGATGGGCAGTATTGTTAGCAGATTTCGACTTTGTGCTACAATATCGACCAGGAGACAAGGGTGGCAAACCTGATGCTCTCACCAGACGAGCTGACATGCAGCCAGTCAGCGAAGAGCAGGAGCACAATGTTTGACAACTACTGCCTCCCCAGGTGTTTGAACCAGTCGAAAATGAAATCACGACAGGGAATGAGTTGCAGCAGATTTCAGCTGAAAATGTAATAGCAAGCATGATACTGCCAATTTCAGCAGAATCGGTTCTAACTGCATGCTCAGGTGACGATTCTGTATTAGTGGCTCCTGTCCTCACGATGGAGTCTATAGCCACAAAAGGAATCAAAGATCTGGCCAGAATCTTCCAGCCTCTGGATCCAGAGCTTCAGGAGATCCATCTAAGGAAGCCATTCGAGATCAGAGATGGCTTGTGGTATAGTGGTGGACAATTGGTTATCCCTAAGGTAATGATGCCAGGGAGAACCAATGACCGTCATTCACGAAGTGCCAAAGAAGTTGATGGACAGTCGTTGTCTGTAGAACACTTGCGATTCATGGTCATGTCTCAATGTCATGATGGCATCACAGCTGGACATGTGGGGTGAGATGCTACCATTAAGTTGGCCCAACGACACTATTGGTGGCCAAACATGTCAGCCTGGATTGCTGATTATGTCACAAGTTGCCAAGTGTGTGCCAGATACAAGGCTCCTTGCCATCGCCCATATGGCTTGCTGCAGCCACTTGCTACTCCAGACAGACCATGGGGCTCTATATCCTTGGATTTCATTGAAGGATTACCACCATCAAAGGGATATGATTCAATCCTGGTCATTGTTGACCAATTGACCAAGTTTGCTATTCTGGCCCCTACATACAAAACAGTCACAGCAAAACAGACTGCTGTGCTACTATGGCGTTATCTGGTTAGACACTTCGGTTATCCAGATCACATGGTCTCGGACCGAGGCAGGCAGTTCATCTCAGGAGCATGGAAAGCATTTGCCAATCAATTGGGTATGAAACATTTGCTCAGCACTGCTTATCATCCTCAAATGGATGGGCAAATGGAAAGGGTCAATCAAGTAGTAGAGCAGTACCTTCGTATGTACTGCAACTATGAACAGAATGACTGGACTGGCTTGCTCGACACTGCAGTGTTTGTGTACAACAATACCATACACAATAGCATCGGTGTCTCGCCATTCTTTGCATGTTATGGATGGAACCTGAAAGCCCATCCTGACATTCCTCAACACCTAGGAGCAAACAACCCCGAACATTCTGAATACTTGCTTGATGGTAAAGAGCACTGCAAGTATCTTCAAGAACAGATCAGGGAGGCACAGCATCATACTGTCAATCATTATAACTGGAGACACAAGGACATAGAATTCAAGGTTGGCGACATGGTTGTCATGGGCCTGGATGCTCAAGAAGCAGGAGGGTCACTGGTTCATATGGATGGAGCACAAGTATCGAAGACCTAGTCGATACCAGTAGAGAGCATGGTCGTAGTGCAGTCTCCATGGAGACCATGGACTCCTATGGATTCACATGCAAAGGAGCACTGAGCCCATATGCGAGGAGGACCAGGCACAGCCACGAGGAGGACCAAGCTCAAAGAGCAGGCGCAGCCATGAGGAGGACCAAGCTCAGATGGTTACCACTCAGGGGCTCGAGAGACAGGAAGTCGACACAGGTCATGAGGAGGAGGAGCAGTGTCGAAGGAGTCGACACAGGTCATGAGGAGGAGGAGCAGTGTCGAAGGAGTCGACACAGGTCATGAGGAGGAGGAGCAGTGTCGAAGGAGTCGACACAGGTCATGAGGAGGAGGAGCAGTGTCGAAGGAGTCGACACCACTCAAGAGGCACAGGGGTGCCAAGCAGGAGAGGCCCCTGAGCAGTACTCGATGAAGAAAGTACTCTCTGGAGAGAGAGCAGGAGCAGCATCGCTGGCGATGCTGTGAAGAGGTATATAACCATGCTTTCTCATCATCATAGGTCGAGTGGATCCCCATCCACTCTACTCACCATAACTAGTTATCACTTCAGCATAAGTATACATTAGTTTCAGTCAGCATAGCAGCAATCTATCAAGGTTGCTCCTCATCGTAGTGTGTGTGTTGTATCACCACTACCTGACGTCCGAAGGCGCCCATAGCAGGTTAGCGGTCCGGATATAGATAGAACCGAAGGCAGTAGTCCACTGCGGTCCGGGGATCACTTCAAGCATCAAGTCAACACACTGGACACTCGTGTTGACGCCACCAACCTTATCACCAACACCATCAACCTCATTATCATCGACGCCACCAACCTTATCATCAACCCCATCAACCTCATTATCATCGACATCACCAATCTCATCACCAACACCATCAACCTCATCATCATCAACACCCACACCAGACCTTGGTGTCATCATAACATTGATATTGATCGTGCCGAGCTACCCCTGAACGGAGTGTCCACAGAGGTCAGCTGAAACCTACGATAGTATATACAACGAACGCCACCTGCTGTCACTGCACAACTTGATAGTCACCGATACCGAGACAATAGCTGTCACACAGTTTAATAGTCACCGAGTATCTCGACAGACCGACCTGGGTTTCAGGCGCGAGACCCCTGACAATGGTCTACATCAATCGCAAGAACTGGAAGACCAGGCAACCCACACCAAAGCTGGACACCAGGTTCACAGGACCTTATCTGGTACAAGAAAGGGTGGGCTGACGAGCCTATAGAATCACATTGCCTGCAACCCTCAGAGTTCATGATGTGTTCCATGTGTCCTTGCTTGAACCAGCAAGGAATAGTTCTATTCCTCAACGATCGACACAACCAATCGTACCATTGCTACCAGACGAGGATCTTGACTTCGAAGTTGAAGCCATTGTCGGCAAGCGTTCACACAATGGGGTGACAGAATACAAGGTGCTTTGGAAGGGGTATCCAGAGGAGGCTGCCTCTTGGGAACCATTGTTGAATCTCAACTGTCCTGACCTCATCCAGGAGTATGAGGTTTCGGCGGGGGGACGAGGCTAAACGAGCACGAGGGGAAGGAGAAATTGGTAAGAAGAGAGCTAGAACCGATTTGAGCAAAAAATGTGAGAGTAAGGGAGTTGTTACAGACTATGCAGAAATCTGTCACAGTACTAATGGTATGACAGATTTCAGGAAGAGGACCTGAAAACTACTCTCACCTTACAAGAGGAGGGTCAAGAGCATGGTACTCAACAGCCAGGCTCATAATCAACATCACAAGAGTCAGGCCACAGACTCAGTTCAAAAAACAAGGGCATCAACATTACAGAAGGAGACATGTTGCTACATGTCAACATAGGAAGAGGGAGGAGGAGGAGGAGCAAGTGACGAATGGATCACCAGTTCCTCCTCAGTAGGGGCAACCCACTCGTGAAGGAGGTCTGGAGGACCACCAGACTCTGTGACAGACTCATGAGGCTGACACTCTGAGTACAGACAGTCATGACGCTCAATGTATAGCTGGAGCATATGGAGGAGGGAACTTACCAATTCCTGTCAGTGTAAGTGCCACATGACCTGCATTGCAGCCACCCAGCCGTGGGTCATCACTGGGTCGGTGGTTCGTTCGTCTGACTGAACCAATCCAGGACCATATCCATCCGCTATGGTTAAGTGTGCACGTTCTACCTGATGAGACCCACGAGGTTGCAAACTTGGAGTCCCATCACTGGTGTAATCCATGCCGGGGTGAGCTGGGATGCTGCGCTTGCAGTGACCCAACCTGGCTAAGTAACAGTGCACACAGGCATGAGGGATTCGGGTATGTTCACCAAACGGGTTGGTAAATGCAGACACAAAGCAGCTAAAATGAAGAAAGGAGTTCATCAGTATCAGTTCAGAGTCGAAAGCAAAAGTTGAGAAGTGTACTTACAGAATGCCTAAGTTGAAGCAGCATCGACACTGCCAACTGGGCCATGGCATGCAACCCTCTGTGAGGCAAAGCATGACTAAATGGTGAAGACATTTAGCTGGTAAGGAACCAACTGGTACATCCCAGTCTGGAGGGTAGTAATGGTCAGTGACCCAAGTCAAGAGCTCGGCCGTGACAAATTGTTCTGACCACCCAGCAATTTCACCATTGCTGGGAAGGTGGCGATCCAGAGGAGGAGGAGGAGGAGTTCGACGAGCCACCCAGCGGGGCGGTGGCATCAAAGGTTGGACCACCAGTCGATATACTGGGGTCTCAGGCTGAGGAGCCAATAGGATCGTGTTGATCACCTCGTTGGCAGCAGGAGGTGGAGTGGGAGACCGGGCCAATTCGGCCTCCCAAATTGCTTGGCACTCCAGAGTCATCATCTCCGGTGCAGCACGTCGCGAGTTGACCTCGTACAGGTCGATGGCTGGAGAATCCGGGGAAGGGGCATACCCCACAGGGTTGGGAATGATGGGAGCCAAGTACAGGGAAGGGAGGGGAGAGATGACCGCGTCGTCATCCATCCCCAAGAAAAGAGGCTCCAGTGGTGAACGAGCCACCAGAGAAGCCAAGGGAACAGCAGATGAAGGAGGAGACAGAGGAGCGGCTGTTGGAGCCGATTCCTCATGTGGATGTAGTCGAAGAACGATCCGATGACGACTAGAGGCAGGAATAGCGTCATTAGCGGAGGACTGCAAACGAGTATTGTAACGAGAACTCATACTGATGATGAGTAGATGGAACAAGATGGTAGTATGACTTAGACATGGTGCAGAACATGCCTCGACGGAGCTCGGCTCTTAAGAGGGGGGTAATGTCATGGGCCTAAGCTGTGCAGAGCGAGGGAAGGCCGAAATGATATGAAGGCAGCACAGGAATCGTGGAATCGGGTAGATCATAAGAGCTGCGACAGAGTTCACCAAGATCGGCAGTAGAATCAGCTCTATGGCTGACCACAGCGAAACCAGCATGAGCATCATCAATATCACAAATCCCACCAGAATCTGTGACAAGCGAGACCTTGTGGCAGATTCTGCAGAGATCAGTAGCAAGGTTGTCTGTATGACAATTCACACACGAGAGGGACCGAGCTCAAGTGACACATGGACGGTTACCACTCAGGGGCCCACAAGACAGGAGTAAAAGAGAACTGTTGCCAGTCAGAGGAAGGAGAGCTGTGTAAAGGACACCAGTGAAAGGGACATGAAGAAGAGGAGCAGTGTCGATGAAGTTGACACAGCTCAGGTAAGATAGGAGGGACAAGGTCTGATATGGAGGAGGTGCCTCCTTGGAGACACCTGTACAATACTTGATGAAGAGGGTACTCTCTGGAGAGAGAGAGCAGGAGCAGTGTCGCTGGCGATGCTGCGAAGAGATATATAGGCATACCTTCTTGTCATGAATGGTTGAGTGAATCCATCCACTCTACACTCATCAAATGAACTAGTATTACTTCAAGCAATAAGTATCATTAGTTCACAGTCAGCATAGAAGTAATCAACAGATTGCTCCTCATCGAAGCACATGTGTTGTATCACTGTTTCCTGATGTCCGAAGGCAGTTTGTAGCAACCAGCGATCCAGATAACAATAGAACCGAAGGCAGACATCCACTGCGGCCCGGGGATCACTACAAGCGTTAGCCGACACACTGGACACTCATGTTGGCATCATCAACCCATACTCACACCAGACCATTGGTGTCAATATCAAGCTCACTTAGAGTCATATTATAGTTTGATCGTGCCGAGCTACCTCTGGATGGAGTGCCCACAGCAGTTAGTCGAAATCTGTCATAATGATAATACAACTACAGATTCTAATGAGAAAGGTGACAGAGAAGGCTCTGTTGCATATTTCACTAAGAATCAAAATACCATTAGCACTGTCGCATAATTCGACAGAATCGGTAATAGTACTGATACTACTACTGATCTCAGGTTTCAGGCACGCGACCGCTGACACCTTCTTCATCGAGTACTGTTCAGGGGCCTCTCCTGCTTGGCACCCCTGTGCCTCTTGAGCTGTGTCGACTCCTTTGACACTGCTCCTCCTCCTTGCTATCCTGCTGCTTGTTTGGCACCCCTGTGCCTCCTGAGTGGTGTCAGCTCCTTCGACACTGCTCCTCCTCCTCATGACCTGGTGTTGACTCCTTCAACACTGCTCCTCCTCCTCAGGACCTGCTTGCCAGTGTCCTATACACTGCTCCTTCTCCTTTGACCAGTGACAGTTCCTTTGACTCTTGTCTCTCGAGCCCCTGAGTGGTAACCATCTGCATGCTCCTTGAGCTTGGTCCCCTTCGTGGCTGTGCCTGCTCCTTGAGCTTGGTCCTCCTCGTGGCTGTGCCTGGCCTTCCTCGCATATGGCTCAGTGCTCCTTTGCATGTGAGTCCATAGGAGTCCATGGTCTCTATGGAGACTGCACTATGACCATGCTCTCTACTGGTATCGACTAGATCTTTGATACCTGTGCTCCTTCCATATGAACCAGTGACCCTCCTGCTTCTTGAGCATCCAGGCCCATGACAACCTGCTTGCTGGTTACCTATACACTGCTCCTTCTCCTTTGTCCAGTGATGGTTCCTTTGACTCTTGTCTCTCGAGCCCCTGAGTGGTAACCATCTGCATGCTCCTTGAGCTTGGTCCCCTTCGTGGCTGTGCCTGGCCTTCCTCGCATATGGCTCAGTGTTCCTTTGCATGTGAGTCCATAGGAGTCCATGGTCTCCATGGAGACTGCACTACGACCATGCTTGCTACTGGTATCGACTAGATCTCCGATACCTGTGCTCCTTCCATATGAACCAGTGACCCTCCTGCTTCTTGAGCATCCAGGCCCATGACAGCATGTCTCTCATTCCCTTGGTGACTTGGCTTTCTTGCATCTCGGCTAAGCTCCTGGTAATTCTGTCGCATCTTCAACTCCCCCCTTTGACAGTGTTACCAGTCCTATCAAGTGTGCTAGTCTCAATGTGTCCAGTCCTTTGAGTGGTTTCATTAGCACATCTGCCATGTTCTTGGCTGTCCAGACATACTCTATCATTATGTCTCCATCCTGTATGTGGTCTTGGACAAAATAGTACCTGGTGTCAATATGTTTCAGTTTCCAATGTTTTGCTGGGTCTCTGCTCACTGTATGCACCCCTGGCTGTCAATGTGAAGTACCAGTTTGATGTTTGGCAGTCCCAAATCCCTGAGCAGATATGAGAAGAAGAGAGCCTCTTGTGCAGCTTCCAATGCAGCAATGAACTCTGCTTCCACTGCTGACAGTGCTATGCACTTCTGGACATGTGACTTCCAACTCACTCAGCATCCATAAACAAATGTGATGGCACTGGATGTGCTTCTACACCCATTCATTGGACATGTGGTGGGCTAGGATTCCCATGGCAAATGAAATGTTGGGTCTTACTGTGTTGGATACCCAGAGTAGCTGTCCCACCAGCTCCTGGTACTCCTTCACTCATTTTGAATTGCATGTTTCACTTTCTGCAATCGCTGTTATGCTTAACATCAGTATCCAGGACTTTTGAGTCATTCTTCCCAACCATTTATTTGCCATTGCCTGGATGTATGCCATCAGGTCCAATGATATTTGCCTCCAATTGTGGTCTTGGGTGATTTTAATGCCAAGGAACTCATTGATCAATCCATTGTCCTCAGTCCCCCATTTGTCCATTATTTCTGCTTTGGTACAGTCCACCTCTCTTCTGCTTGGTGATGCTATCAACATGTCATCTATGTAAGCGGTCGCATGCCTGAAACCAGATTGGGTGTTTCCAATTGGTATTGGTGAGGACAATCGAGTAAGATCTACTCAGGATGTTTTGACTAAATGTAACCAGATGGCTTCATACTGGTAGGTCTCGGCTGACCACCTTGAACACTCTGTTCAGAGGTTGCATGGCATGTCCATTTATTCTTTGGAGGGAGAGTAGTATACTCTCCTTACAGTACAAGTGTTCATAGTACTGTTGCTAATGCTCTCTAACATCATCTGGACTGCAATATGCTTATTGTCAGGGGTCTCGCGCCTGAAACCCAGGTCGGACTGTCGAGATACTTGGTGACTATCAAACTGTGCAACAGCTATTGTCTCGGTATCAGTGACTATCAAGTTGCGCAGTGACAGCAGGTGGCATTCGTTGTATATACTATCGTAGGTTTCGGCTGACCTCTGTGGACACTCCGTTCAGGGGTAGCTCGGCACGATCAATATCGATGTTATGATGACACCAAGGTCTGGTGTGAGTGTTGATGATGATGAGGTTGATGACGTTGGTGATAAGGTTGGGGGGTATTGATGATAATGAGGTTGATGGTGTTGGTGATAAGGTTGGTGGCGTCAACACAGGTGTCCAGTGTGTTGACTTGATGCTTGAAGTGATCCCCGGACTGCAGTGGACTACTGCCTTCGGTTCTATCTTGATCCGGACTGCTAACCTGCTATAGGCGCCTTCAGATGTCAGGTAGTGGTGATACAACACACACACTACGATGAGGAGCAACCTTGATAGATTGCTGCTATGCTGACTGAAACTAATATATACTTATGCTGAAGTGATAACTAGTTATGGTGAGTAGAGTGGATGAGGATCCACTCGACCTATGATGATGAGAAAGCATGGTTATATACCTCTTCACAGCATCGTCAGCAATGCTGCTCCTGGTCTCTCTCCAGAGAGTGCCTTCTTCATCGAGTAATGCTCAGGGGCCTCTCCTGCTTGGCACCCCTGTGCCTCTTGAGTGGTATTGACTCCTTCGACACTGCTCCTCCTCCTCATGACCTGGTGTCAACTCCTTCGACACTGCTCCTCTTCCTCAGGACCTGCCTGCTAGTGTCCTATACACTGCTCCTTCTCCTTTGACCGGTGACAGTTCCTTTGACTCTTGTCTCTCGAGCCCCTGAGTGGTAACCATCTGAGCTTGGTCCTCTTCGTGGCTGTGCCTGCTCCTTGAGCTTGGTCCTCCTCGTGGCTGTGCCTGGCCCTCCTCGCATGTGGCTCGTGTCCTCCTTTGCATGTGAGTCCATAGGAGTCCATGGTCTCCATGGAGACTGCACTACGACCATGCTCTCTACTGGTATCGACTAGATCTTCGATACCTGTGCTCCTTCCATATGAACCCATGACCCTCCTGCTTCTTGAGCATCCAGGCCCATGACACACATCTCCTTCTCTCTTCACCAGTGACTACCTCCTCAACCTTATCTTGTGAATCCCTTAACCACCTGTTGAGTCCTGTTGCCAAGCCCCTTGATCATGTGGTCGCCCCTGTGCTTGGTCCTATGTGGCTGTATGCACATACCCCTTGAGTGGTAACCATCTGTGTGATGCTGAGCTTGGTCCCCACTCCTGCATGTGGTTATCTCCCATATGCTTCTCCTTCTATTGCTGGTATCCTCCTTCCTGAACCTCCCAATGCTTGCTCATGATGGCTGACTTGCTGGGACATGCCAATCAGGCTGATTCCAATTGTTCCTTGTGAGATTAATCAGGATCCCAGAATTTGGTTGATCTTGCAAGCCATATGTGCTACCAACCTGATTAGATCATCAATTCCTGATGATTGCTGTAGATCAATTTGGCACACACTTCATACACTGATCTGCTGATCCTGTGACAATCTACATACACCATGATGACTGTGATCTGCTTCCCTGAACCCCTCATATACAGACAAGGCGTGCTTGGCATGCAGTGGAAGCCAACCTTCTGAAGGTAAGAGTCCAGCTCAATATTCCATTCCCTGCCTGATTGTTTCAGTCCATACAGTCCTTTGATCAACTTTAGTGCCTTTCCTGAGGGTACCTTGGTTCTGACTGGCAGTTTCAAGTAAATGTCATGTTGGAGGTTGGAGTTGAGGTATGCTTGCTTGACATCAACTGAATCTACCTCCCAGTCTTTTGCAGCTGCTACTGCTAATACTCCTCAAATTGCTTGAATTGGTGCAACTGGTGCAAATATTTCTGTGTAGTCAATACCTTCCCTTTGGGTGAATCCTCTTGCCACCAGTCTTGCTTTAAACTTCATAGGTACCAGATTTGCATCCATCTTTATCTTGAGTACCCACCTGGTGTCTATGGTGTTCATGCCTGGTGGGAGGTTTGTGACTTCCCACATGCCCATTGCTTCTAATCCTTCTAACTCCTTTCTCATTGCTTCCTCCCAAAACCTTTTATCTGGTCCTGCTAACACCTTGTCATGGGCCTGGATGCTCAAGAAGCAGGAGGGTCACGGGTTCATATGGAAGGAGCACAGGTATCGAAGATCTAGTCGAGATCAGTAGAGAGCATGGTTGTAGTGCAGTCTCCATGGAGACCATGGACTCCTACAGACTCACATGCAAAGAAGGGCCAAGCACAGCCACGAGGAGGACCAAGCTCAAGGAGCAGGCACAGCCATGAAGAGGACCAAGCTCAAGGAGCAGGCACAGCCATGAAGAGGACCAAGCTCAGATGGTTACCACTCAGGGGCTCGAGAGACAAGAGTCAAAGGAACTGTCACTGGTCAAAGGAAGAGGAGCAGTGTTGAAGGAGTTGACACCAGGTCATGAGGAGGAGGAGCAGTGTTGAAGGAGTCGACACAGCTCAAGAGGCACAGGGGTGCCAAGCAGGAGAGGCCCCTGAGCAGTACTCGATGAAGAAGGTACTCTCTGGAGAGAGAGCAGGAGCAGCATCGCTGGCGATGCTGAGAAGAGGTATATAACCATGCTTTCTCATCATCAATAGGTCGAGTGGATCCTCATCCACTCTACTCACCATACAACTAGTCAATACTTTAGAAACACAAATACTCATTAGTTACAGTCAGCATAGCAGCAATCTATCAAGGTTGCTCCTCATCGTAGTGTGTGTGTTGTATCACCACTACCTGACATCCGAAGGTGCCCATAGCAGGTTAGCAGTCCGGATCAAGATAGAACCGAAGGCAGTAGTCCACTGCGGTCCAGGGATCACTTCAAGCATCAAGTCAACACACTGGACACTCGTGTTGACGCCACCAACCTTATCACCAACACCATCAACCTCATTACATCGACATCACCAATCTTATCACCAACACCATCAACCTCATTATCATCGACATCACCAATCTCATCACCAACACCATCAACCTCATCATCATCAACACTCACACCAGACCTTGGTGTCATCATAACATTGATATTGATCGTGCCGAGCTACCCCTGAACGGAGTGTCCACAGAGGTCAGCCGAAACCTACGATAGTATATACAACGAACGCCACCTGCTGACACTGCACAACTTGATAGTCACCGATACCGAGACAATAGCTGTCGCACAGTTTGATAGTCACCGAGTATCTCGACAGACCGACCTGGGTTTCAGGCGCGAGACCCCTGACACACCTCTCAGACTGTTGGGTCAAGGTTCCTTTCTTCTTTGGCATTTGTGGCCATGAGTCCAAAGGAGCTATTGTCTATCAATGATCCAAGACTCTGGTCTTCTTCAGTGTCAATGGTTGGCCCCATGTCTGTATATTCATTTAGTGCACCCTGGTCCCTCTCATCAAATAGATCTATCTCTGAGTAACTTAGGTTTTCAGTGTCTTCTTCACTTGTCATTGTTTGTGGTGCTTGAATGTCCATCAGCTTCCATTTGGTGCAGTCAATCCAACATTTGGACTCTATGAACTTTGCTGAATTACTCCAGAAGACACTTGGTTTATAGTCTGGACTATAGAATAACCATCCTTTTCATTCTAGGCTGTACCCTATAAATATGGCTGCCACCACTTGTTGATCCAATTTCTTGTTGTCTCATTTGACCTTTGGAATGTTCACCCAGGCCAAGCATCTGAAGACATGGAGGAGTCATATGAGCCTTTCAGGTGATTGGTTGAACATCACTTTGTATGGGAGTTCATTATCAGCATTTGGGGTAAGGTTTATCTTGAATGCCACTGCTTGGATTGCATATGGCCAGAAGCTCTTTGGCAGACCTCAATGCATAAGCAGCATTTGCATCTTCTCACTCAAGCTTCTGTTCATCCATTCTGCTTTTCTGTTTTGTTTGCTGTTGTATCCCACTGTTGTTTGCCATTCTATTCCTTTGTCATGTGACCACTCAAGTGCTTCATAGCTATGCCACTCTGTTCCTTGGTCAGATCAGATCACTTTTAGGTTCCTCCCTGTCTGTGTCTTGAGGAATGATACTATTCTTTCAAGTGCCATGAAAGCTTGACTCTTTCGCAGCAATGGTTGCACATAAACATTTATGCAGGTGTGTTCTGTCATGTGCAATGCATCAATAATCAAGTCTATGTGTACGAGGTCAAGGGGTGCAGCAGCTCTTTCTCCACTGCCTTGACCCATTCATGTGACCATGCTCTTGGGCTGTATACACTGCTCACATGTCAGAGCTGTATCTGGGTCCATATTTGTTATAATATTGTTGCCTATCCTTTTGATGATGGCCTTTGCTTTGTCTCAACCTGGGTGTCCAAGATGTTCATGCCAAAGCTGTTGCATGGAAATGTCTTCAATATCTTGAGTAATGTTCCATTTGCTAGGTGTATCTGTCCACCTGCATGTTCTAGGGTCACTCATGTTCCCTCATCCATCAATGAGTTGGTTGATAATAGGTTCACATTGAGAAGTTTAACATACAAAACATTCTGGAGCAATACATCTCCATACTTGGTTGATATGCTAGTGTCTCCTACAGCAGTCACTTCCAAAACTTCTCTTCCAGCAGTATAGATACAATTTCGGCAAGTTCTTGGGTTGATGAGTGTGCTGTAGTTGTTGACCATGTGAAAGCTAGCACCTGAATCCAGAATCCAACAAGTTGTTCCTTTTGGACTCATGGCTTTCTTCCAACCCAGGGTGAGGGAACACCAAGCCTCCTAGTCAGACTCAGTAAGGGGTGAGTCTTTAGGGATGCTGACAGATGCATTGCATTGTCTTGCTCCATGTCCAATTTGCCTGCATATGAAGCACCAAATTTTTCATGGCCTGTTGTCAGCTTCTTGGGTCATTCCATCTTGATTGCTTCTGCCAGCAGTCCTAGCATTAGCCTGTCAGGGATCGAATTTCTGGGTAGGAACACTCTCCAAAGCCAATTGGCATGTGCTGAGTGCAGTGGCTAGTGCATCAAAACTGAGTTGATGTACTGTGGCAACTGTCTCTCTAAACACTGGGTGGCGAATCATACATTTCTGGAGGGCTGAAAACAGGGTATCATCTGCAAATGGCCTTCCAAGAATGCTTCCTTCAGCTTGGATGGCTCTTATGTCTTGTATCAGCTTCCAAGCATCAGCATGGAACATCTTGACATCACTCAATTGGGTGATTAGAGCAAGCCAACAAGAGGTCCTGGTGGCTTTGTTGCCCAATCTGGTCTCTATCTTGTTCCAGACTTGACTGAATGTGAGGTACTCTCTGATAATATCCAGGAGAAGGTAGTTCACATTATATTCACCTATGGTGTTGATAGTGCTGCATATGGCATTTGTCAATGCATTGTTGAATGAGCAACTCCATTTTGGATGATCTGCATTGTACACTCCTTCTAGGTGTTCCATAGCATGGGGCACAGATCTGAGGAAGGACCTTACATGGGCACTCCAGCTATAATAGTTCTGGGATGTGAGCTTCAGTACCAGTTCAAGGAGTTTGGCTAAGGTGTGAAAACTATACTGTTTCCCAATGTCATCATTGTCTGACTCAGATTTGGGGTCATTGTCAATCTCATTGTCATTGTTGGTGGTGTTCTCAGCCTGTGGCTGTTGAATGATAGTGACCTTCTTGGTCCTTTTGGATCTCTTGGTGGCTTTGCCAGTGCTAGCTTGGGATTTGTTTTCTTCCACCATGATGGGTAGTCATCTGGCTTGTGACTTCAGACTCTTAATCAGTTGAAGTTCATGCAAGACACCACTTTGTCTGGGCTACATCCTAGCTCCTTTCATACAGGTGTGAGGTAGATGCAATACTTGAAATTTTTTATGAACTATGACTACAAGACCATCTGTATATATACCTTAGTCTCATGCTTGAGTAGCTCCATTTGTCACCTGTTAGTGAGCATGCCATGTGATACCTTGGAGTTGTTTTATCTGTGCCTCAGCATTGTCTCCCACAAACCTCTTCTGATTGGTTGCCACATGTTGGCCAATGCATGCATGTCTCTCATTCCCTTGGCAACTCGGCTTTCTCACATCTCGGCTAAGCTCCTGGTAATTCTGTCACATCTTCAACTTCCAGCCTGACAACGTGTGGGACTGTGTTGTACCCAATCTCTGATCGGATCGGTCCTCACCCCATTTCCGGTCAGATCAGTTTCCCCCGATCCCTTCCATAATGGCTTACATCAACTCGCATCATCACATTGGATCGTTTCCCTCAGCAAGCTTACTCAAACTCCACACTCGTGTCCGCAAATACACGGAACTCGGACAACTCGGTTTGACGCTCTCCACCAAAAATTTCAGGACTTCCAAGAAGAAGCGGGATACTTTACCTTTGATTGTACAACATCACTCTATCCTTACTACGTTTCCAGACGTCTCCATTCCCTTCCTCCTCACTAAGTCGCAGCAATCAACAGTATGCCTAAGGCGACCAAGAGGAAGAAAGAGAAGAAGGCCGACTTCCAGGTAAGTTCCCGATTCCGTGCTTCCAGCAGCGGCCTGCAACACTAGACCTACGACAGAATGTACGAGTCTGATGTTCTGACGCTCTCAGCCATGCCGAACACTTCATTCTGCGATCCTTCTGCCTCTTCAACCCAACAGAAAACCAAGCTCAAGCTAGGAAAAGGCAAACAGGCCGCCAACAATGCCACTGACGTCTCGTTCAAAGCCAAAACTATCGCGCTTCCACAGCAATCCATCAATGCCGACAAGTCAGGCAAGCTTGTCAACTCACGGAACCTTACCGTCGCCGATCTGGCTCTACAGCTCCGTCACTACTCGCCAAACGTAAGAAGAGATGCTGTCGGTGGCATACGGGAGATTCTCACGCTCCATCCGAGCTTGATGCTCTCAGCTGCAGCATCACTCATCCCAGAGCTTTCCCGTTGCATCGGTGACGACGACGCAGTAGTGCGAAAGCAGTTACATTCCCTTCTGGCTTGGATGCTCCCTCAGATCCCATCGCAACTTCTCAGTCCCTACCACAATACGCTTCTTCTCTTCACTACATCCGCACTCAGCCACATCTATCCAGAAGTGCGATTAGACGCCGTCAGAGTGCTTGATGCTTGTCTCGACATCTTGCCTCACACTGCCACATCAGGATGGGAGAATGCAGTCTTCAAGATGGCCAGCGCTATCTCTACAACTGCGACCTCGACTGCTACCCCCAACAACGCCGCGGGGCCTAGCATCGCTTCGCATCAGCCACACGGGGAGAGAATCATGAATTGCTTCCTCAGCCTCCTTGGCATCACACAAAGGTCAAGCGCTGCTGCCTCCATAACGTCCACCGACCTAGTTCCTGGCACCAAGCTCTTGATACTCAGATCGCTACGAACATTCCTTAGTCATGCTCTTCCGTCCAACTCTGGCGGCGACTCGGCAGACGCTGAAGATCAGAGTTGTCCAACTTGGTTCTTTCGGTCCGCCTTCACCTCATCCGCCGAGTTTGAGTATTTCCAAAGGCTTCTCGGTCGCAATGCCCGCTCTCAGCAGTCTCGTTACATTGCCATATCTCGCCACAGTAAAAGTACTGTCCGCCCATCAACCGAGGCAAGCTACTCTGACTGGGCATCTGCAGATTCGTCAGCCGCTTCGCTCATGGATCTGGACAATACACCTGGCAAGTCGCTCAACTCGGCGGATCTCCTCAGCTCATTGGAAGCCGTCAGTGCCACCAACGCAATCGGCACAAGACACGGCAAGCACTCCCAATCTGCAGCATTGTCGCTGTTTGCTCTTCTCGACCCCGTCCTGCTTGCTTCGTTCCTCGACACAGCCCCATCGGCATTTCAGCCCGACCTCGACTTCTCCCAACAAATGCGCGGACAAAACGTAGGGCTGTCTACACCCTCACAGCTCGTCTTTGAGATCCTCTCTCTCACTCTTGCACTCTGGCGGGGCTCATCATCTCCTAGCGCACAATCGAGATCGTCTCTCGCCAATCTCCTTGGTCACGTCTCGGTCTACTTTCCTTTCAGCCATCACACGGGCTCGAGCGGCCTGTCAGCCAAAGCAAAGTCTCTGGTAGTACAAATGGATCTTGCCTATGCGGAGCTTGTCGCCCTCCTGGCGCTCAGCCACGGAAAGACGCAAAAGGTCAAGTCAAAATTCAACATCGAAACGCAAATCGAATCGGTGTCATCCTTCATCGCCGAGCTGCTCTCGGTACCTGTGACCGAGAGAGGAACCGTGTCTCTTGGATCCGTGGGCGCTTCTCCAGCCAATACGCTTGATCCAGACACGTTCCGTGCTCTCCTTCCTACGCTGTGGTTCCTCTTGGGTTCCGAACACGACACCCTGCTCGACAGCTTGCTAGCCACATACCATGCACACGCCACTCAGCATCGAGTCAAGCCAGTGCTCTTTGAGTTCCTGGCTCGGGCGTATCTTCTCTCGAAGCTGCGTGCACAGACACCCTTCGCGGCAGAGGAATCTGATCGACTTATCGAGAGTCTCTTGTCTACGCTTCCTCGTAGCCTATGGGAAGCGGCTTCGTCGTCAAACGGGCATGCCTTTGCGGGTGTTCAGCTCGAGTTCTTGCACTTCCTTCTGTTGCTGCCTTCGCCGCCGGCCGTGCTCGCCTACGAGAAGCTTGGGCCATTCTACTGGATCAGACACCCCACCAAAAAGGTGTCTGGTCCTGGCCCCTTCAACAGGCTTCCACGCGCATTACGCAAGCTCGCCATCGACAATACATCGCTCTTGCAAGGCCGCGACGAGAAGCTCGACAAGACCATGTCTGCAGCACGACAGCATGTTCAAACGAGCGCATGATTCGGTAGACGCATGCACCAAGCAGGTAAGCTCAGTATCTACCCGATAAGCCTACATTGTCTGTCACGCAGTAGTAGCAAGCATCACTATCGTGTAATCTATTCTATTGAACCGTGTCTAAGGCCTCACAGATTTACCGCTACATGTCTTGTTGCTTTGTTTGATCACTGGTCCTTGTCGCTCGAGTCGCTCAGCTTCTTTTCGAGTTTCTCGTACATCGCCTGTGCTTGAGGAATGAGCGCGTTAAATTGACTGTTGGACCACTGACCCTTTTGCGATGGAAGCGATGGAAGGTTGCCCGAAGTCTTGAGGATGGCAAGCAACTTGGCCAGGAGCGCATATGACAGTTGGTCGGCTTGTGCTTTATCAACAGCACGCAGGCCTCGCTCTTTGTGAGATCCCGGGTGAAGACCTCGATGCTGGCTGAGTAAGGTCGCAAGCTGCAGAATGCTGGGCGGATAGTCGGACTGCGCTGACTGTTCGAGCCAGAATCTTGCCTCGTCGTCGTCGGCTTCGACGCCAAACGTATCCTTGTGTGCTTGCTTCATTGTCTTATCACCCGCCATCACGTCGGGATGCTGTGCCATCTTGTCTCGATCCAGGAAGTAGAAGGAGCCAACCTGGAACATGCTCTGTGCATCACCCTGCTCGGCGGCCTGCTTGAAGAGTCGGAAGGCCTCCGATTTGTTCCCTTTGTGGTCGTCCAGCAGGTGATGCATACCGAGAGCAAACAGGCAACCGGAATGCCCAAGTTGGGCTCCCTTGCCAAGATACTTGAGCGCACGCTCCTGATCTGGTGGATTGAAGCGCGATTCTTGGAACAACGAAGCCAGATCATACCAAGCCTCTGGCAACCCCTTCTCACCGGCCTGCGTATATAGCTTGACGGCTTGATCGATCAGTGAGGGCCACTGGGACTTGTCAACCTGGCCTCTTTGCACCCGTTGCAGCAGAAGTCTCGCTACACCGACGGAGCCACGAGCGTTACCTGCAGCTGACAGCTCCTGGTACAAACTCACAGCTTGTTGAGCCCGACCCTTGAGATCGCCAGAAGGAGGAGGAGGCGCGGTGTTCTGCAAAACCATACTGGCCCAGTAGTAGCCGGCATCGTCAGAGCCAGACTGATGAGCCACCTCGAACAGGCGGAAGGCCAGCGGTTGGCGACGCGGATCAGCTGATGCAGAGAGGAGTGTGTTGGCAAGTTGTGTGAGATCTTCAGCGTTGTAGCCCCAATCTTTAACCTGAGCGATGATGTCAGAGTCGACAGAGGACTGGTAGGCCTGGCGATCAGATACAGTCGCGAGATCGGCAATGGTGCGCAGCTGGACCAGCAACTTGGACAATAGACTGCAAGCTTGATCGTACGTGATCGGTGTCGTTGCTTCCTCATCGTAGCGGGTCGATGGTAAGATGCGGCTAAGGGACGCATCTAGCTCGGACTGGTCCGGTATGCGGATGTTGGTTGGCACGGCATAGTGTCTGACAGCATAGCGGTTGATCTTTGAAGTGACGAATGGTGTGGCCACAACTCGAGCTGATCGGGCCAGATTGCGAGTATGAGAGAGGAGAAGCTGAGCGGCGCTACGACGTACAAGGTGGCTTGGGACTGTCATGGTGAGGCTTTGGAAGTGATACTGTCGCAGGGCAGATGTTTTGCCACAGAGGAATAGTAGGATGTAGTTAGTGTTGATCGCCGAGTGGACGTTGTGATGATCATCGTCCATCTTTTTGTATTCCCGAGTCCGCTGTATCTTCTTTGGCGAATTCCGACTCGGCTTTGTTTGCCGCACATGTATGTACACGCTTTGCTTCTTTTGTCGGCGTTTGCTACTCCACATTCTTCTTCTTCTCTGCAGACTCGCCCCACTTCCGAGTTCCGGTCTCTCTTTGGGATGATTCATTCGTTCTTCTCCATCGCTCGAAGGGTTGGTAGTGCTCCATCTCTTAGCAATTCCGCAATTCTGCTTTGTGCTGGTCTTCAATATGTCTGTCAACGGACATTATGGCAGAGCTGATTGGCCTTTGCCCTCTTCCTCGTGGATCGACAAGGTCTTGTTCTTGGGAACTGGAACTAGCGGACAAGTGCCGGCAATACACTGTGTCACCAAGCCCGACTTTGGCAACTGTGCGGCATGTAAGGATGCTACTCTCAATCCGACAGGCAAGAATCGCAGAGGATGTACATCAGCTGCTGTGGTCGGCCGTCATCCCCAGGACACACAAGACAGCACGATCTTGATCGATTGCGGTAAAACGTTTTACTCCAATGCTGTCGTACACTTTCCAAGAAACGGCCTTCGTGCGATCCGCGCCGTCTTGCTAACACATGCTCATGCCGATGCGATCCTCGGACTTGACGATCTCAGAGCTTGGACCATGGGTGGCGTCATTCAAAGACAAGTCGATATCTACCTCACACAGGAATGCATGGCCGTTGTTGAAGGCATGTTCCCTTACCTTGTCGACCGCTCCAAGTCGACTGGCGGTGGTGATGTCCCAACGCTCCGTTGGAACATCATCAGCAAGGACGAACCCTTTGTCATTCCAAGCTCAGAGGGACGCAGGGAGATTCAGGTCCAGCCTCTGCCAGTGCTCCACGGCTATGTCGGTCGAACGTCGCCCTTTTGGTGTCTCGGTTTCCGCATCGACTCTTTCAGCTACATCAGCGACTGCCACGAGATCCCAAGCAGCACGCTCGACCTCATGCGTGGCAGTCAAGCTATCGTAATGGACGCTCTCAAGATGGATCGCCATCTCTCTCACTTTTCCTTCTCGCAAGCGCTCTCGTTCTTTGCTTCGTTCTCACCGCCACCAGCACTGGGTCTTCTCACCGACTTTACGCACCGGATAGAGCACTACGCAACGCAAGAGCTGGTTGATACATGGAGGAATGGAATGCTGGCTGCACAAGTCAACGGACAAGTGGCAGTCGAGTCATTGCCTGTCAACGGCAACAAAGCGGGAAGCCGAGGATCGAACAAGGATCGTGCTTCAATGGGAGAGGGTGGTGGTCAACGATGGTGGACAGATGTCTGGGACGAACAAGAGAATGAGTTCAACATGACGCTCAGATTGAAGCATGTCTATGATCCCGTAGACAAGGAGTCGATACGAGCTGTATCTCACTATATACCTCCGGTCAAGCTCAGCTGGGATGGACTCGTAGTGCATTTTTGCTCGAAGCGTTAATCTTGTCGCATCCTCCCTTGCAACCGATGTCCATCTTGCTCGGTCTTTGCAACTTAACCGCTGATGAACATTCAGGGTCAAGATCTTGCGGCTTGATGACTATTTAATCCGACAGATCTTCGACAGCAGGCCTTTTTCGCATTCAGGGTTAGGCTTAGTACGGGCTGCCCAAGCTGTGTTTGCTTTCGCTCTTATGCAAAATAGTTGAAGAGCGTCGTTTTAAGTCAATCAAATCGTGCGTCAAACTCGATGATCACAGGTGTCGATTGCGATAAAGAGAGCATACTAACTAGAAGATGATCAGGCTGTTTATATTGCTGAAGATGACGATCCAGTGTGACGCTAAAGGACGACGCGAAGCCGATCTGATCGGAGATCAGGCAGGGCCGATCCAGTCAGAGGACCGATTTGATCAGAGATCGAGGATAACAGTTGAAGATGCATTGGCATCTCAAGCAGAATGCATGAGCTATAGCCGAGACACCAAGGGACCAAATGCATGCATAAGTGATGAACACAATAAAGCACATGAAGGTTGCCATAACAATGGCTCAGGGGCATCACAGAAAGCAGCAACTCAGGGGGTTACAGAAGAGATGACTCATCTGGCTCAGACATGATCAAGGGTAGCAATGGAGTATATATACATGCTCATCATTAGCATACAGACTACAGAAATATTAAGCATTTCAAGAAGTTATACACCTGTGGTAAGAGAGCCTGATAGTGGCTCCAGGAACAGCATATGTTAATTGTCATCTTCAATTGATTAAGAGTCTGAAGAAGCTTTCAACCAAGCTAATTGAAACCCATCAACAATCATGGTAGAAGATGCCAAACCTCAAGCTGGCACCAGTGCAAGAACCAAAGGAGGTAGGAAAGGCAAGGTGGCCCAGGTGCAAACTGACAATGAAACCATCAACAAGAACAAACCAGAGGTCATCAACAATGAAGCCAATGAAGATGCTGACTCTGACTCCAATTTGATGGTGGTGATAAACAATATAACTTTTGTACCTTAGCAAAACTCCTTGAGTCCATACCAAAACTTATGTTGCACGGCTACTACAGCTGGAGTGCCCATGTCAAATCATTCCTCTGATCCATACCTCATGCTATGAAATGCCTTGAGGGAGCATATGACAAGAAGCACCCAAGATGGAGCTGCACTTTTGATGACACCCTGACCAATGCCCTGTGTGGAATGATAGATACTACCAGGGAGCACAATGTCAACTACCTTGTCCTAGACATAATTAGAGAATACCTCACCTTTCATCAAGTATGGAAAAGTATTGAAAACAGGCTAACAAACAAAGCTACCAAAACATCCCACAGGCTTGCACTCATCTTGCAGCTGGGTGACATCAAGATGTTTCATTCCAATGCCAGGAAGCTAGTTCAGGAGATTCAGTCCATCCAGACTGAAAGCAGCATCCTAGGAAAACCATTTGCCAATGACACACTGTTCTTGGCTCTACAGAAGTGCATGATCTGCCACCCAGTGTACAAGGAGACAGTCACCAATGTTCACCAGATCAATTTCAATACTCTCACCATTGCATTAAGCATCTGCCAGACCACTGTTGAGAGTATCCCTAGCCCTAGCCCTAGCCCTAGCCGGTGTGTCTTGCTTGCGGGCAACGCACAATTGCGCTCCGCCAAAATCGAAATTCACGCGACTGCGTTGACCCCCAACGCACTCGAAATTTACACTGCTCAAGTGCTGCAACGCAAACAAATTTATTTTCGCTGGAGCAGCGCAGGGTTAGGGTTAGGGTTAGGGTTAGGGTTAGGGTTACAAGGGTGTTCCCGGCGAGACCCTTGGAAACATGAAATCTGTACTAATGAGATATGTAGGGATACCCTAGGACTATGTGTATGCAAAGTCTCACGGTACCCTGTTCCGCGGTGGCTGAGATATGGGCCATCAAAGTTTGGTCACTAGGTTTGAACTTTGGTGAACCTAGGTAAACTTCAATGAAGCTGGGTAAACTTCAATGAACTGGGGTAAACTTCAATGAACCTAGGAAAACTTAGGGTTAGGGTTAGGGTTAGGGTTAGGGTTACAAGGGTGTTCCCGGTGAGACCCTTGGAAACATGAAATCTGTACTAATGAGATATGTAGGGATACCCTAGGACTATGTGTATGCAAAGTCTCATGGTACCCTGTTCCGCAGTGGCTGAGATATGGGCCATCAAAGTTTGGTCACTAGGTTTGAACTTTGGTGAACCTAGGTAAACTTTGATGAAGCTGGGTAAACTTCAATGAACTGAGGTAAACTTTGATGAACCTAGGAAAACTTCAATGAACCTAGGTTAACATGAATGAACCTAGGTAAATGTTGATGAAGCCAGGCAAATGTTGGTGAAGCTAGGTAAACTTTGATGAAGCTAGGCAAACTTTGGTAAGCCTTGGTACACCCCAGTACATCTATGTTCAATGTACCTCAACCTCTGTGAACCCCAGCAAACCCTAGCCCTAGCCCTAGCCCTAGCCGGTGTGTCTTGCTTGCGGGCAATGCACAATTGCGCTCCGCCAAAATCGAAATTCACGCGACTGCGTTGACCCCCAACGCACTCGAAATTTACACTGCTCAAGTGCCACAACGCAAACAAATTTATTTTTGCTGGAGCAGCGCAAATTGAGCAACGCACAGCTGGAGCAACGCACTCACAGCTGGAGCAACGCACACTCTGCTGGAGCAACGCAATCTGAGCAGCGCACAGCTCGAGAGCAACACACTGTTCGAGAGCAACGCACAGCTCAAGAGCAACACACAGCTCAAGAGCAACGCACAGCTGGAGCAACGCAATCTGAGAAGCGCAATCTCATCAGCAAACTGCTGGACAGCGCACACTCTGTCGGAGCAGCACAATTGAGAGCAGCGCAATTGAGAGCAGCGCAATCGAGAGGAGCGCAATCGAGAGGAGCGCTCACTCTGCTGGAGCAGCACAATCGAGATGAACGCAATCAAGACGAACGCAATTGACAGGAGCGCAATCGACAAAAGTGCAATCAACAGCAGCTCAATGGACAGGAGCACAATCAAGAGGAGTGCAAGCGACAGGAGCGAGCACTCTGCTGCAGCAGCGCAATCGAGAGGAGCGCAATCACGAGCAGAGCAGGAGAGAGGAGCACAATCGAAAGTAGCGCAAGAGAGAGCAGAGCGAGAGAGAGGAGCGTAATCGACAGGAGAGCAATCTAGAGACGAGCAGCAGAGAGGAGCGCAATCGACAAGAGTGCATTCGACAGGAGCACAATCGAAAGGAGCTCAATGGACAGGAGCTCAATGGACAGGAGCTCAATAGACAGGAGCTCAATAGACAGGAGAGCAATCGACAGGAGCTCACTCGAGAGCAGAGCAGGAGAGAGGAGCGCAATCGACAGTAGTGCAAGAGAGAGCAGAGCGAGAGAGAGGAGCGCAATTGAGAGGAGTGCAATCGAGAGGAGAGCAACCGAGAGGAGCGCAATCGGGAGCAGAGCAGCAGAGAGGAGCGCAATCAAGAGGAGTGCTCACTCTGCTGGAGCAGCACAATCTAGAGGAGCTCGATCGAGAGCAGCGCACACTTTGCTGGAGCAGCACAATCAAGAGGAGCGCACTGCTGAACAGCGCTCACTCTGCTGGAGGAGCACAAGTCGAAGGAGCACAAGACTAACCATCATTTCAAACCCAATCTAACATTTGGAGCATGTTGACCGACATTTATTTTTGACATCAGATTCAATCTAACATTCTTGAGACGCGTCTAACATTTTGTGACCTCTATTTCGACCTCATATTTTCGTACCTCTTGTTAAATATGTGTTCTTTGTTTTGATCTAGTATTTTGCGCACATTACTGATACTTTGAAATTATTGTTTTGATCTAACCTTTTTGACATGTGACCTGTGTTATGTAACCCCTTTTTGATCTAACATCTACCACATGTGACTGATATTTTCCTCGTGCCTCACAGCTAGCAGCACACTGCTGGACAGCGTAATTAAGAGGAGCGCACTGCTTGACAGTGCACACTCTGTTGCAGAAGCCCAACTCAGAGCAGCGCAATCGAAAGCAGAGCAAGAGAGAGGAGCGCAATCGACAGGAGCGCAGGAGAGAGCAGAGCAGCTGAGAGGAGCTCTATCAACAAGAGCGCAATCGACAGGAGAGCAATCGACAGGAGCGCAGGATGGAGGAGGTCTATTGACAGGAGCACAATCGATAGGAGCGCAATCAACAGGATTGCAATGGAGAGGAGCACTAGAGAGAGCAGAACAAGAGAGAGGAGCTCAATCGACAGGAGCTCTCACTTTGCTGCAGCAGCGCTGATGAGAGGAGTGCAACCAAGAGGACCACAATCGACAGGAGCTCACTCGAGAGCAGAGCAGGAGAGAGCAGCGCATTCGACAGGAGCACAATCGACAGGAGAGCAATCGACCGGAGACCCATCGACAGGAGCGCAATTGACAGGAGAGCAATCTACAGGAGCGCAATCAAGAGGAGCGCAATCGACAGGAGCTCATTGGAGAGGAGCGCAATTGACAGGAGCGCAATCGAGTGAAGAGCAGCAGAGAGGAGCGCAATCAAGAGGAGCGCAATCAAGAGGATCACAATTAAGAGGAGCGCAATCAAGAGGAGCGCTATCAAGAGAAGAGCAATCGACAGTAGCACAATCGAAAGCAGAACAATCGACAGGAGCGCTGTAGAGAGGGGCGCAATCGACAGGAGCTCATCAAGAGGAGCGCAATCGAGAGGGACGCATTCGAGAGCAGAGCATTCGACAGGAGCGCTCACTCTGCTGCAGCAGCGCAATCGAGAGGAGTGCAACCAAGAGGACCACAATCGACAGGAGCTCACTTGAGAGCAGAGCAGGAGAGAGCAGCGCATTCGACAGGAGCACAATGGACAGGAGCACAATCAAGACGAGTGCAATCGAGAGGAGCGCAATCGAGAGGAGCGCAGGAGAGAGGAGCTCTACCGACAGGAGCGCAAGAGAGAGGAGTGCAATCGAGAGA